AACGTAAATAAATTTATTTATTGATATTAGCTGTGCCCGTCGTCATTAAAATATTATTTATTTAATGTTCCAACATCCTTCTCAATTAAATTTCGTCTCTAAATATGAACAGAAAAAGTCCATATGAATTATCATATGAGAAATATGTTGATTATTCATCATTTATGGTAAAACTGCTTAGAATTTACATCAACTCTCCTTGTAAATCAAAATAAATATTAAAATTTACAAAAATTAGCACTAATGGAAAGTAACTATTAGCACATTACATTTAATGTGCATTTTTGAACAGAAGTATTAGTCTGAAAGCTTATCTAGTATGCTAAATGTTTATGGCTTGAAATCATTACCTTGAAACATTCAACAACCAGTTTAATTTTTTCTAAAATGTTGAATATTTAATTGAATTTGTTATTGAAATAAAAATATTATGTCTAAATTCCCATTCTAAAGTAAGCTTGTTTATTTCAGGGACTCTCTAGGTGGAGGAAATTATACACACATATTTATGTCCATATGTTTTAATGGATTAGATATTAAATTAATTGATTAAAATTATATGATATTTTTTATACATAATTTTAAATATTAATGAAAATATTCTAGAGTTTGATTTTAAATATTGTGAATCATTAAAGTTTTAATTTTGTGTTTCAATTGTGACTGAAGATTTATATATGATATTTAGAGTATATTTGAGATAAATTGGATTAGTTTTGATTTCTAAAACATTACTTTAATATGACATGTATCATCATTTTGTCTTTGTGATATCAAATCCTTATCAGGTTTGTACAAAATGGCATGATTTAGACATGAACTTTACATCTTAATTGTAATACATATTCGTTTATTTTGAGAATATTTGAGCCTTTAAGAAATGTATCAAATTTCTTCCTCAATCGTTCTAATTTTTGTTTACTTTTAAGAAAAAACTTAAAAAAATCTTTAAAATTTATTTCATACTTAATTATCTAGAAATACTACATATTTCAAATAGCTTAATTGTTCATAACAATTATCTCTATCTCTACTTCGGCCTCAATTCTCATTGAGCTTTTATGGTAGACAAAATGGAGAGAATTAACAAGTATTTACTAGATGGTCAAAAATGTGTGAAGTCATTAAGTTCATGAACATTCTTTAAGCATTCAACAATCTTTCTTGACCCACTCAAAGTTGAAGCTCCTTCAATCATCTACCAGCCTTTTGATGAGAAGAGTATCTAGAAAATCAAGCCTTAAACTTAATTCTTTTCATCAAAATTTCGAAATCACTTTCATTCAACATGATATTATTAAAAGTTATCCATGGTAAGATCTTTGTCCTTATTTCTAAGATAAAATTATGGGTTAAATATTAATTTAATCACTTGAAGGAGTTGATTCATTAAGCACTTGTTGGCATCCTAAAGTTGTGAATCTAGAAGAAAAGTTTTGGTGAAATTCTATAAGATTTGAACTTGTTAATCAATAGTGGTGTTCCAGCTTTTGATGTTAGTTGAATATAAGAACAATGATGGTTCTTAGAGAGTGAACATAGGTAGGTGGCTGAACTACTTTATAAATATTCAAGTTTTATACCTATTGACTTAGAAGAATAATAAGACCTAAAATTAAAAAGAGGAAATTAAAGGTCTAGAAAAAGTTGATCATGTTTCAGATTATGAATAAATCAATTGAAACCCCCTTTCTTGATCCAAGTGCAACTTGAAATCCAATGCAATAGACCATTGAGATGTTAACACTTGGAATATCACTCTAAAATTATATTTATTCTACATTTTACTCTCTAGCTTGCTGCACTAGGCCCCTCATCCTCTTATGTCAAAATTTTAATTGATAATTGGCCATAATTAGTGTTTAATTTTATTCACATTTCGTTTGAGGATCAAAAAATAGGAGAAAGGTTTCACAACCTCATTGTCAATAAAATCACTATATTGGGAAATCCTTCTTGCTAATGATCATTTAGAGTTAAAACCTTAGCTAATTAAAATTTCCTGAAACAGACTCAACCTTCAACAGTAGTCAATTTAATTAGCCTATCATATGAGAAATCAATCTCCATCAGGCCTCATTTTCAATTGAATTGTTGTTTTGAAGTATGAATGGATCACCAAATTTATCTCACCCTCAATTGTCCACATTAAAAAATCAATGAAAAATAATTAGAAGGCATATCGACATCTCATTACATAATGATGATAGCATTATTCATACTATACTGATTGTACTGATTAAATTGACACACTAAATATTTTAAACATTTTCAATAAAGAAAATTTTATTTACCAAAGGATAAGAGGGACTGCATGTTTGGATTGGAGTGCGAATTCCCACAAAATTCTAAATTTACTTCGACTCTACTGACCTAAACATCACTATCTTGTTTTTGTAATTAGATGGTTAAACCTTTTATGCACCACTTCTGAAGTATATCTATCATTTTTAAATAATTTCATTTTTTTCTGTACATAGATTTTAAATTATTGACTTGAAAATAAAGAAAATTTCATATAATTGAGATAAAGCCTCAACAAAAATAAGCTGAACATTTTTGGTTAGAGAATAAATTCAGATATACCTCATGCTGGTTTTCAAGGAAGGCTAGATATAATACCAAGAGGAAGGGTAAATTAATTTAATTTTTCATTTTTTTAATTTTTTCCTACTGTTTATATGCTTAATGGCTGAAGAAAAATTAGCTTAGGGTGACAGATATAAGCTTGGGTGGACAAAGTATCTTTTCTTGATACAAATTGGGTGCACATAGAGTGCGTTTGTTTGACACTAGGTCAACACAAATTGGGTTGACCTGATTGGGCTGACATACCAATCAAATTGGGTAGTGAAGATGGATTTACGATGGTGAGGTCTCCTACGGTCTATATTCCTTCACTAAAGACTCATAGCCTATATTTTCAGATTTCTTTCTCATAGAGATATAAACAAATTTAGGACATCAGAAAATATCATTTCAATGACTGATCAAAATACCTACTCATTCAAAAATTACTCATAAAGTTATACTATTAGAATAGCCTTGCCACAAGCTTTTCAAGTATCAAGCACCACCAAAATCAAGGCAAAATTATATTTTTAACATGAAAAATTACTTTATTATTTCTCTATTCAACTAGCAAAAGTTTTTTGATGATTTAGAAGTTTCAGACTAATCAAATATCATGAGAGAAATATAGGGTTTGTATTTATATGATGTACATCTCAATTTTACATGTATTTAATCATTGTCTTATCAGTATAACATACTTATACTCATTTTGCACACATTTAAAATTAGCTTCCTTTTTCCTAATTTGTCTACTTTAATAAATAAAAAAATAAGCTAATCCTTTCTCTAATTAGTTATATACCCTTATTAGATTTATATTCAATAATGATCAAACCTTTAATTTTAATGATTTTTTTATTTTATGAAAAAAATAATTGCATGCATAGTTGCTTTAATTCATGATGAATAATATGAAAAGGCTTGAAATTGAATAGTAGCTCTCTATTATCAATTATAAATAAAACTAGACTTAGGACAAAGGATCTTATCGATGAGAAATGTTGTTCATGTTGTCCATCTATTACAGATTGCAAAATTAAGTTAAATGTCACGTTAGCCTTTATTGTAATTAATCACATTCATAACTCAAATCCGCCAAAACATTACAAGAATTTGTAAAAATTAATAAAGTTCTCTTAGATTTAAAGACTACATTAGAGATTTTCCCTGGAAAATTTGTTGAATATTGATCATGTATATTACTTCTTTTAACCTCTTCTAATTTTTAACTAAGCTTCTACGGGGGTGCAAGGCGTTGGGCTCACGTTCACAGATCAGAAGGGTACTGTTTCTCATTAATTTTTGAACGTTATAAGTTGAATGTCACGCCCAGACGGAGATCTCTCCCTGGAAATGAGGCAAGAGAGACGTATCCCGAGGTCCTCAAATGGTCACCAAGTGTCCTCCTGCGAGCCGCCACCCGCTCCGCCCCGTCGTCCTTAGCACGCCATCCCACCGCCAGCATCCTTTTCCTCTCCTCACCATCTCCCTCTCATTACTCTCTCGCTTCCTCTCTCCTCGTCTTCTGTTCTGTGGCTTCTGTCTTCATTCATAGATCGTTGGCGTCCAACCAACTTTATTTCTCTCTCGTCCTTTTCTCCTCTACATCGCTCCATCCCCCTTTCTCTTTCCACATGGTCTCCCAGCTCCTCCGGCCGCTGGTCGCCCGCCGCGTATTTCCTCCTCCACCTCGAAGTGGAGACCACCGGTTGGGTCTCTCTCTTCCTCCCTGTCCTCTTCCGTCATCATCTTCTTCCTCTTGACCCTCCTCTCTGATGTCGCCTTCACCTATTCCCTCTACATCTTTCATCTCTTTCACCTCTCTGACTTCTTCCATGGAGAGCCCAGCGACGAACCCCTCTTCACCCATCACCCCACCGGACCTGTCTCACTCGTCTCCTCCCGACGAGATGTACACAATGCCTCTCCTCCCGCCTCTTTCCCCACTCCCTCCAGAGTACATTTACCCTTCTCCACATGGCGATCTTCTCACAACATATTCAGAAGGTTTCTGCAACGACGACTACAGAACCTGGGACGGGGAGTTGTTGTCCTGGGCCTCCGGGTACGAAGACGTAATTATAGAAGATTCTTTCTTGGAAGGGGGGGAGAGGGCGGAGGAAGGAGCCCACAGTGGGGATCTGGCTGTAGAGACTACTGCAATTCGTGAGGGGGGAGGGCGGGAACTGCCTCCTCCGCCGTCAGACTTGGATCATCAAGAGCAAGTGGGTTGGCTTGAGATGGAGATGCAGCAGTGGAGCGGCATGGCCAAGGCCGCAAGGAGCAAGAGGAGGATCGCAAGGCAAATGAGCAACTGCGGCGTTCCTCGCTTCGTTCTTCCCCGCAGGACCACTTCTTCCATTTCTTCTCCTTCGTCCTCTTCAGCTTCGATTCCAAGGAAGAGTAGTAGGAGGAACTTACGGGGGATGTCCACAGTGACGAAGAGCTCTCCTGCTGATTGTGCCGTCATCTTCCCTCCTATTCACATGGTTGGATCACGTTCATTTTCCCTCTTTTATTCATTTTCCTTTGCTTCGTACTAACCTGAGAGGCTTCTCCATATCTACACCATACACGTTCTTTGTATTTATTCATCTTTCGGAAAAGTTCGGCGTACGGTAACCCTATTAATGTTCATTTCCTTGTGTGGGAGCCTGTATATCATCATTCCTTGAACATTCTTGTTCTGCGTTTATTTTCGGTGAGGATCGCAGGGGCTCAGGTATGTACTACACAAGGAGCTGAAGAATAGTGACGTTACCTCCCTCGGTCGCATTGTCCTCCCCAAGGTAAAAAAAACCGTAAAAGCAAATCTAGCACCTCTCTCTCTCTCTCTCTCTCTCTCTCTCTCTCTCTCTCTCTCTCTCTCTCTCTCACTTTCTCCCTCTTTCTCGCGTCTCTCTCCCTCTCCCCCTTCTAGTTTTTCCCCTCTCTCCCTCCCTCTCGCTCCCCCCTCCCAGTTCCTCTCTCTACCTCTCTCCTTCTCTCCCTCCCTCTCGCTCCCCCCTCCCAGTTCCTCTCTCTATCTCTCCTTCTCTCCCTCCCCACCTCTCCGTCTCTCTCCCCATCCCTCCCTCTCCCTCACTTTCTGGATTCCTCCTATCTACCTCTGTCTCATTCACTTTAAACTCTAGGCTTTTCTCCTTCTTCCCCTCCCTCTCTCCCTCTTTCTTGTTCATAAACTACTGGCGTTTCTTCTTCTCCCCATCCCTCTCTCGCTCACTTTAAGTTATAGGAGTTTCTCCCTCTCTCCCTCTCTCACTCAATTTTAGACTTGCATTTCTCCATCTTCCCCTCCTCTCCCTCTCTCTCTCACTTTAAACTATACGCGTTTCTCCTTCTCCTGTAATTACGAGAGAAGGTGGACAGATAAATGATCTCGAGTTCTCATTATAGCAAGGCTCTGCCAGTCTGCACCGCCCTAACGCCCATTAGCAGCAATGCAAATGCCTCACTATCTTCGACTCCTCTCGTTTTGAAAGAGTGAATGGCGCATTGTTGCAAGTAACACTAGTAACTAAATGTAGCTTATAATACAAACAATTTTAAACGAACAACATTGACATTTCTTTTTCAAGAACAAACCCATGTTTTACAATGAAGAGCTCTGGTGTTCATTTTTATTTACTACCGTCTCCAATGTTTCGTTGATGATTTGGATCATTTGAGGACAATCTGTCGACCGCTGCAGACGCTGAGAGTTTTTTCTTGATGATCCCCAGAGGGAATCTGAGACTTATCTCCCATTCCTCGCCGTGAAGGAGGGGATACAGATCACCGTGAGGGATATGTTCTCTCCCGACGCCTGGAGGATGAGATACAGGTCCGTACCAACATCTTTCTACTGATTATCTCTAAACCCTCGATCTGAATAACAAGACTACAATTTTCCTTCATTTTCCATTTCTTTTCTGCTAGATTTTGGCCGAATAACAAGAGTAGGATGTACGTCCTCGAGAATACAGGTAGAGCTCCGGACGACAATCTTTTACATGCCCTTTCGTTCTCATTTCGTAAGGAACCTCGTTTTTTTCAATACCATTCCCACCGTCATCAGTTTCTGCTTTTTTTCGGCTTTCTTTCCCGAGCAACCTGTTTCATTGATCGGACCATTCTGTGCAGGGGACTACATAAAGAAGAACGGCCTCAGTTGTGGAGACGTCGTTGCTCTATATCAAGATGAGTACAAACAACTCGTGAGTAAAAAGATAATTTTCATTATCTTTCACTTCGATATACCTCCCGTCTGCTTTTCTATTGGGTCATAAGAAATCGGAATCCCGCACACGATCACTGCGAGCGTTTACATGGAAAGCTATACCGATTCACTCGTTAGCGACATAGAAGGACAGGAAAGATGAAAACATTACATGTTAATACCCGTACTCTTTCTGACATCCTAGTGCAAAGCAAACCTGAGCATAGTCAATAATTCTAAAAAATTGATTTTAACAGTTTGGATCCTTAGGATCAAATCCCTCAAATTGTAGATATAGTAGGTATTGCCAAAGAAATCCGAGAATGTAGAATCCTTTGCATAAATGGTGCACATTTACTATGCATCTCACGTTTACTAGTCTGCTCTCTACTATCGCATTTCAATTTGTCTACTTTCTTCCATGGAAGAGGTAAAGTTTATATTAGAATAATATATTAATATTTATGTGTATGTATTCACTTTGTCACTCCATATTCTCTGTAGAAAATGTAGAGCAGGCTCACACTCCTAGATAGACACGATTACGAATACATTTCAAGGGTGTTCAGATTTTTCAGCTCTAGAAATCTTTCCCTGTTTTATTCAAGAGGATGAAATAACTAGGATATCTGCAATTAATCGAAGTGGAAGTTCACCTGAACAATTAATACATTTGTCATATGCAACAATATGGTAAAAATAATTTCGAAATTAAGCTAAAAGTACCTAAAATGACAATGGTTTATTAATTTTTCAGAACATCATAACTCTAGTGCAAACAGTGATTGGAAACGAAGGTGTAAGGAGGTACTCTTTGAAAAGAGAAGTATATTTTGTCAAGATCTCTAATGTGCATTTCATTTGAAATAATCACCATGAACAATCGTCATAAACAATCGTCATGAACTTGTCGTATGCAACTAGTACCTTTGTCATACACAAAATTTGTCTAAACTTGTCAATCCCTGGAAAAATGACTTACATGACTAGAAACCTTAGAGACTAATATCAATTTACTAAAACTATTTTATTCCTTGACACCTTATTCTCATAAAATGATATCCAATCAGGACTTACAAAATATGTTCTATTTTATGGCCATGAAATCCCAAGTTTCATTCCCCCAATAATAATAAGGTTTAGTCTATACAAGGTGTTGTAAAAAAGTGGTTCATGTATCACAATGTCAATCTATAGTTGATGAATGTCAAATCATTGGAGTACACCATTGATCATTGAGCATATGTTTTTTTATGCTAGAACTCCCACTAGGGCATACACTTTAGATCACAATGTTTGAATGATAGTTCTATTGACTTCTTAAATTGTGCTCTCATTGTTGGTAGAAGATTTTTTTTTTCATAGTACTCTATAGGGATCATAAGTTTTTCTCACTAGTTTTGCAACTTAAAGGGTGTATAAGCATTGCACGTTTCTCTCACTTGTCAATAATTTCCATATAATACTAGTTCATATGAAGAAATGTACTTCTATTTCCTCAAATAGCTTATTTAATTTAATTTCTTTTCATCATCTCAATAAATGAAAACAATATGCTTTTTTTTTACTATGCGTATTTTTAAGGATGTAATCATTTCAAGTATTTGAACATAAATATTTTAGAAGTGCTTATCATTTGAAGATGAAGTTTATTTCTAGTAAACAAAAGTCCAATAGATCACAATCCCCCTTTTGAAACCATAAATAAGACTTAATATAAAATATATTTTTGATGATAAATAATCAGTATTTTTTAATCAAAGAATGCCTTTTTAAATAGGTTTGGAAAATTCCTTCAGAACATAATAATTATGTGAGTTTTTTCTCAATAGTCAGTTCATATCTAGTTAATGATTAAGACATCATGTAGATATTGAAACTCCTTTTCAATTATTTTTTCAGAATTCAAGGACTTATAATTTTCAATTTTTTTGGCTTAAGAAGACAAAAAATTTAACACCTTTATCTTTCATACCATAAAATGAAGCCTTAGAATAACATATACTTGAAAATCGTCAAAGATACATTTCTTAGCTACGTAGCCATTTGTATGCTAGTTGATTAGAGTTAGATGAGTACTCACACCATGAATGATGATAAAAATACCATTTATTATTACTATTCATATTTGGAGTAAGTTTAAAATAAAAAATATCACATTAAAATTATTCATGACTGAATTTTTTAGTTGAAAATTAATTTGATGATTAAAAAAATTAAGCATTAAAATAAGCCTTCTACAAGCAAATAATTATTTTTGTGGAATGATACTTTAAAAAAAATAACTAGAAGAAATTTTAACAATAACAAAGTTAGAGTTTACATACGTTTGCTTTAGTGGTATAGACATTAACTGTATATAAAGAATTTAACTTGTTACTAATGCCATGGTATTGAATCGTCACTTGTCATAGCATGGTTATGGCTGCCCTTTTTAACGTACTAAAAATTCATAATAACAATAATATTTCCAGGCCTCAAAATTTTCTGCAAAATTATTTTCTTCTAATTTGAAATTAATTCCCTAATGTTAATTGCCCATGTAGTTAATATTAAGTCTTCTCTAAATGTATGGCATTTTATACTTTTAAAGTAGAATCAGGTAATAAAATGATTCATAAATGTTATATATGAGAAATAACTGTCCATCCTTCTGTTTGATTTCCAATATCATCGCATCAAGTTTATCATATCTTATACAAATGCATAAGATGATATTGTAGCGTATTAAAATTTGTTCTTGACCAATCTTCCAATATGTAGCATTTAAAGTAGCTTTGCTTGAGATAAGAATGAGTATCATTGTTTCAAGTATATCAAGCTATTTGTTAATATATACTAGTTTGATCATTTGAATTTATACAATTATTTTATATTTAGATGATTTTTTTATCATTTAAGACGAATTTATTCAGAATACCATGCTAACTATTATATGACATTTTGTTTTTATAGTATGTTTGTGCTAGAAAAACTGAAAAGCATCAATATGTAATGGAGGTTGACAAAGATGGCCAAGATACATTGCTGAAGGATGATCTGCTAGAGGGGAGTAGAAGCAAACTTCAATGTGCAGATGGAAATTTTGGCCCTAGATGAAGATACTACACCATTGTTAATGAAAGAAAAGCTCAAATAATAATGTCTTCATTTTTTCTATGATGTCCCAGTTTAAAATGATGAGCTTTAATATCTAACAAGTTCTTAGTAGCTGTCATTTTCAAGAATTGTATTAGTTCAATAGATAACTTTCATGTAATGCACATTATGTATGCAATTTGTATCTAGTTGGATGGATAAGAAATGCTTCATGGATGTGAAAGAAAAAAATATGTTGTAGATCATGCACAGAAATTGACATAATCTTGAATTTAAAGAGAAGGAAAACTATATTTAATATGGAAATTTAGAAAATCAACTTGAAAGTACATTGAGCTTTCAAAAATAACTGGATATCCAAGTTTTATAATTCTTGGTACATATTAATTAATGCATTGTCCATAAAGGAAAGCACATCCCACCTTTTTCAAAGTCTTCACATACCCTATCATAATAATTTCAACTCTTCGACTAAAGTGGATGAATCAGTTCTACAAAATATTTTACCTTTAGATCATTTATTTTTGTTCTATAATAAGTGAGTTGGTGAGAATGAGCTTGGCTTAACATAATCTGCCTTGGGTCAATGAAAGCTAAGTTGGGTAGACATACTAGATTTACATAGATGGGTTCATTATTTTTGTTCAATTAATAGTAAAAACTCAAGGGATAAAAAACCCATTTACATGATAGATTTTAGAATGTTATCCTTCAACACTACACGCCAGCACACTAGCTTACCTTTCTCTCTTGTTATCAATAGTTTGTAGAGTGACTTGACATAGAGATGTCAATACACAACTTACATATTAATTTTTATGCTTAGAAGATATATTCTTGTTATTGCAAAAGCTTGAATACATGAAGGGAAGCCTGTGATGAGGTTGCTCTTGTAGCAAAATGCTAACAAGATATTTGAAACTAAGTAGGTGGATTAGATACTTTGTTGGTTTGATATTTGAGAAGCTATTTATCAAGCCCAAAAGCTTGACTAATGGAATTCAGATTTTTGAGACAATCTATCAAATATTGTCTAGGTCAAAATTTAGTTGTATTTTCTGGATTGTTTGTTCTGTAAAGGTTTCAATTATACTAGGTTTTGACTAGGTTGCTCAAGATGCCTGTGCAAAAGATCTCTGAACTTTCTTTTTTTCTTCTAAAATTTAAAGGTACATTACCATTGTCAAAGGTTATTGGCATGTGATAGACATTTTAACATGGGTGACATTTCGTAATTAATAGAGAAAATATGTTCTTCATCTCTTAAGCCTTAGTTTGAGTTTAATTGGGTTAAACCATTTGGGTGACACACTTTGCCTTTTTGCTGCTTTAAGTTTGGAAACGAACTAGTTGGACACAATTTTTTACTCTCATGCTTTAGTTCTATTGGCAAACTAGGTCAACACACTTTTCAATCTTCTAGTTTAGGTGGGTCAATGTTCTCTCTATATCTCTTTAATTTCTTCTAAATATTATTTTTCTTATTTTGAGTTGATTTTAATATACATCTTCATGGCTATTGTTTTCATTCTATAATACTTTAAAAACAATAGACCTTCATTCAATCATTAACAAATTGATAACATATTTACGAATATTTTTATCATATGTTTCTTTGATTAGTTTTCAACATCAAAATCCTTAAACCAAGATAACTTTTAGTGTTAAAGCATGCTACCCCTCTGCTAAGCGAATTTCATTACATCATCTTAATGACAGTTACTATGGGACACCTTGAAAGATGTTATATAAGATCAATCACTTGACATCAAGCGTCCAACATTTTCTTCAGACATTTGGATCTAGTACAAGATTTTCATGTCTTGTTCTTGGGAATATCATTTTTGAATTATGAATATAAATAAATGCTATTTTAAAATGAAAAAAATATTTCTTAAAAGATGGTCAATTGAATCATAGTGTGATGCCTATGATATAAGCTCTCTTCACTTGTTAAATTCTGTAAGGAAAAAATTATGTACCTTGTCCACGTGCAAAAACTTGATCCTCTCCTAAGTCTACATCATTTTTCCTTTGGAGCTTTGGAATGTAACCTTTGGAATGGGATATAACCCATTAAAAACACATGAAAGATTGTATCATGAAGCGGGTAGATAAAAAGGCTAATAACATCGATAAAACATGCGTTGTTGAGTAAATATGATTGGTAAGATGAAATATCCTTCTAGTTAATCATATTTATTGGGTTTTATCGTAGCTATTGGATGTCCTACCCTTGTCCATTTACCAATAACTTTTAACACGAAGTAGTCAATGACTCTTTCGTTACCTGTACGTTTAACTGCACACCATATTCAGTGGTCATGGATGGCGGTTCTAGTTTGACTACGAGAAACAGAAAGTAGCTGAAAATAAAAAATTAGTGTGTGGATGACATGCACAGGTGCACCAATAAGCCCTTCTAGAAGACGTACCCTATGAATAATTTGTTTTCAATGGTGCTTCTCGAATGATATTTCAATAATCATCCCCTGACCCATAGCAGTTCTGAAAATAAAAAATTAGTGTGTGGATGACATGCACAGGTGCACCAATAAGCCCTTTTAGAAGACGTACCCTGTGAATAATTTGTTTCAATGGTGCTTCTCGAATGATATTATCAATAATCTACCCCTGACCCATAGCAGTTCTAAATAACAAACTAGTGCATGCGAGCTCCACCTTCCACTCCATTTTGGTGCTGCCCAATAGACAGCATCTCCTTCGGGCAGCTGTAATCACAAGGCAGAATCACCCGCTTAGAGTTCTTGACAGTGAAAAAATGCTACAGAAAAGAAAGTGCGGGGACTAGTGGATGTAGGGAGAGGTGAATGGGAAAAAGAGGCGTGAGCCCATGCGAATAAGATTGGGCATCTTCGATGCCTATACTTGCCAAGATGTCCAGCCTATTCCAAACTATGTCATGCGGTTCTCAGTCTGGTAAAGAAAGATGTCCGTTTGGGTTGAGTTTCATGGCATTATCAATGTTGAATAAATGATCGGCTACGTTATATAAAGAAAATAAAAAGAATGAGATTCTGTTAATGAGATGAAATGGGAAAGAGCACGTTGGAAAGGGAGGCAGCCAAATGTGCCCCATTACCATGGTGGAGATTGCAAGGCAGATGTGTGGTGAAGATAGCGGGATCCTGACTAAATTTATGTCCATCGCCGCATCGAATGAGTATCGGGCTGGGTCATTTTCTTTTCGGAGCTTAATTATGAGAACTTCGCGCAAATAAGGCTCATCAATCATGGTTCCTGTCCTGACCTTCTCTGTGGATTAAAAATGGATTATTTAATCCAACTAGTGTGACTTGATGTTCGAGAATGATTAATTAATATGACTTGTGATATAAAGTACTTGGCTGCTGATTTAGAACGATAACGTGACGGAACCTCTCAATAAACGCCTGTAAACTATCAGGCTCACATCCAGCCCAAGGCATCAATTGCATCAACAGGCCTGATCAGCCAATGTTGTTCGCTCCCTCATCTCGATCTTGAACCAGAACTGCTGTCCACTGGCTTGACGCTCATCTAAATGGGATTACGGTGATGAATAAAAAACCATATAGGGTTGCACTCACCTATGTAGCCCCATTTAACAAGTGAGTACTGCCATGCCCATCCTAGCTAAGGTCAAATTCTTGTAGATGGACAAGAAAATTATTTGACAACTGAAAGAGGTTAGTATCCTAATGGTCCTAGGAGAGGAGGATTCAAGGGGCATAAAAAAAGGGACATTACAATGTTGTATCATTTGGGCCAACAAAAGCATGAATTCCCAGCTTCACTCCTTGTTCCTTGGATTGGGTCCCATAGAACGTATTATTAAGTCTATTTACTCCTATCTAGACAATATTTGGCATCCTTAGGTACTTCTAGCAGACTTTAATTTAATTATCCAAAAATATTTTTACATAAGCAACCATCATGTTAGTTAGTATATGATAGCATAAGGTACCAAGAGAGAGGGCTGGATTGGACCTCACTCAATTTCAAAAGTTGGTTTTTGAAGAAGCCTAAAATTTCATAGACAAAGTGATAGCTATGCAATCTGCCCAACCCATTCCACTCGTAAGCATTTATGTGCCTAAGTTTCACTAAATTTAGTGAAATACACAATTACAATGCTTCAGCCACCTTCACTAGACTTAACACTGCTATCCAGTTCAAGATTTTTCCTTGAAATCTTGTTGTATATTCATGGCTCTTGAGGGAAAAATTTATTACTGTCCATTTCTAGATTATTTTCCTACGAAATTATATTTAAGTGAGTTGCCACTCAACCCAAATGAAATATTACTAATGTCATTATGATTGTACATTGTGAATGAGTCATGGTTCTTTGGTGTTTTAACTTTATGTGGCCTAGAGGGATAAAATGTTTCACTTGAGCAATGTGGAATCTTATTTTCCTTTAGGTGCCAAAGCTGAACAAATTATCCTCCAAATCCATGGGGAAAGGTGAAATGTAAACTTAATAAGTGATCATTAAATTATTAAAACTTATAATAAATGTTAAGCTTCGAATTTCGATTTGTGTATTGAATTGTGCTCCTCTTTCAATTATCATTCCATTAGGCACATCCACAATATCTATGACACCAACTTGCATCCAAATCACTTCATTCGTTTAAATTTTGCATATAGACTATTTTGCCCTTGATCTAATTTCTCCATGTTTAGTCTTTCTTCCATAACCAGAATTTAGATAATTGGAATATATAGTTTTAGTCCTCTTCAGTTTTCTAAATTACTCATTATACACATTATCATCATCAAAATGACTTAAGCTCCTAAAGCCAACAAACAAACCGTAATAGTTTACTACTTTTAAATTTAATATTTAATATTTTACAAATAATTGGAAGCCACTCAAATTATTTCCTCCTTGTTTTCTATTTATTGAAAAAATGTGGTAATGTTCTATAATAAATTATGCATATTGGTTAATTGAAATTACCTAAGTAGATTAATCACCTTCCTTCTGGGGAAATTTGGATCGTATGACATGAAGTGCATTCACAAACCAATGTAGGGATATAAATCTTCAAGAACGATTAATAGAGCAATGCTTGCCCTATTTGCCACCATTTTTCTAATAAGCATAGAGCAATGAATAGATGTAGTTGTTGAATCTATGAGGACATTATGTAGTTGGAATTGATGATATATATACTCGTTTGGGCTCTATTGATATAAAGTTTTGAAAAGTAGATTGATGTGTTAAAAAAGTATCAATACATCTTCAAAAGATTTACTTCATTTAGTTATGTATCTCTAATTTTAAGTAGATTTGTTGAAGATTTATTGATACTCATTTTTTCCTAATGTATGCTTTATTCCTAGTATACTCACATCAACATAACATGATTAATGAAAAGTGAAATACCTTACAGTGCAAAGGGGATTTCATATTTTAAAGTATATTTTATAAGTCCTATACAAAGGAATATACTTTGTAACACTTTTTTCTGAATTTCTTTAATTAACTTCATTTTCTTAGCGATTTTAACGAATTAAATGGCCTCCATTAGGTGAATATGTATTTTTAATATAATATTTACTATAAATCTAACTAATAATGGTATTTTCATGGTTATGAAATTATTTTTTATTTTTCGTTAAATATCACATTTCTTTTCTCCATTATGAGATTTTTATAGTCTTATATACGTTACCTTTTTCTGCTAAAATATTTTCTTTCCTACAAATCGAATGCCAACAACAAGAAGAAAAATTATCCTAATTAAACGCTTTCCGAAGATGCATACGCACATTTGACAGGAGAGACAGCAGAAGGAGAGAGAGAGAGAGAGCACCTCGATTGCCTCCCATGTCCGCAGTTAAATATTTTCTTAATTTGTTTTCTAAATTAATACAAATTAATAAGAATTATACCTTGTTCACACGTCATGTAATAAGAAGAATCAATCGGCCGTGGTTCTCTTTACCCACAGGGAATCGTCCCACAGCAGTAGCCACAGTTGGTGTTCCACTACTCTTCACTCGCAGAGGAACTCCATGGCGCCCCTCAGATGCCTCTATCAACTCCAGGTACTTCCAGCGTCCTTCCGGCGACCTGCTTCCATGCGCAGCAGGAGCAGGCTCACTGCTGTGCATACTCTTAGCAGTCACATGCTCCAGGGTTGCCGCTTGGCCGACAGGTTCTCCGTCCTCTTGTCAAAGTCGCCCGCGACTGGAGGACGGACGACAGGAAATAGGGGCCCTTGTTCCTTCCACCCGGAGCTGAGGAAGTGGAGGCCTAGGGAGTTCTGCACCCGGGCTGGTTCTCCTCGGCAAGTGAAGGATGACACTGCAGTTGCTTCTTCCCCCTCGTCACCACCCTGTCTCTCCGTCTCAATTCATTGCTGTAAACGTGAATCCGTGAGTTAGCTTCTTCTCGTTCTCGTGCTTCATCAAAAACTGAATTTTACTTCTGTTCTCGCTTTGCAGATAATATACTGCATGTACGGGTGCGGATATCTGTCTTAATATTTTTATGTTCTATTAGAAACTCTTAAACTCTGAGCGAGAGAGAGAGAGAGAGAGAGAGAATGCTCGTAGTGTATAATTTTCGCAAATTAAAGATATGCGGAATTTTTGGGATGTTTGGGTCATCGTGTCTATCTACACTTATCTAAGCTACCATGGTAAGTTTCTTGACCGTTGTAGGCTGAGTATGTTTGCAATTATCCCATGGGGATGGTTTCTTGAAGGTTGGATGGTTCCTCTTATTTACATTCTTCTGTTTTGTGAATCTGTATATTCTGACTACTACCAATCACCTTGCCCCTAGACACAACCCAAACCCTTGCTTTTCAATTGGATTTCAGTCTTGACATTGTTGTAACAACTTAATCTCCCTATTTTTCCGTCGTTAGTATCTCCGTTGTAAGAAGAAAATATTTCAATATGGCGCATAACAGTCATCTTTAGCGTTCTCGATTGTAAGAAAAAAATGTTTGAATATGGCGCATAACGGTTGTTAATTGATTGATATCCATGTGGATGGAGATCTTGAGAAACTGATCCGAATTTGATGAGACAAGGAAACCAGTTTCATGATACCGTGCTGTGGCCATCTTAATAGGTACATTTTATTGTGTAATTGCTTGGCTTCTGGGATCCGAATATGTCCTATAAAATGTCCAGTGGACTTAATTAAGCACTGTGGCGCCTGTGATGCATCTTTGATGCTTATAGCATGTTCTGCCATCTTATATTGTTTTAGATGGCAGGATGCACTTTCAGAAGCTCTTTTATGCTTTGGTGCGAGTTCTGCCAGTATTGATGAACCAAGTGACCTGGAAGAAGACGAGGAGGTGAGCATTGGACATTTTTTCCCAAATCTTTAGTGTCTCTGTTTGTTTTTCCCTCCATTGTTTATTTGTATTGATATTTCATTATCAATCCTGGATTCTTCCTAGATCCGAAATGAACGGAAATCTTTTGTTTTCTAGTGAGAAAAGCAAAAAGAGTTGGAAACCAGACATGGAATAACAATATATTTTTATATTCCAAGTCCAGAAAATGTCAATTGGAAGTGAAATCTGAGGATAACATCTTGATGCTGAGTGGAACAAGCCTTGATGAAGTCTGTAACATACTGCTGCTTGTTTGCATCACCAAGGGCTCTCTTCCCTCTTTCCAGAGCATTGGGTAGGTTCATAGTGCATCATTAAAAGACTTAGGTCGCCGGTCTCTGATGCTTTTTCTTTGCTGTAACTGGCTTTCCTGTGGTTCCTTTCCTTGGTTCATAATATGGCTAATCAATTCCTTAGTTTCATATGCTACTTAGGGTGATCACAAAGCTTTAATTATTAGACTAGATTGTGTTGATTTTTTCCACGACTTTTAAGAAAAGAAATGAAGGTTTTTCAAGTAAAAAGAATTCAGAAAACGAAGGTTATATGAAAGTATTAATGCCCAAGTTTTTAAAATGATGTTCTCTTGAGTGCGAAAAGTTGAAAGTTGAATCAAAATAGAAGGCTCAAACCCCATAGGATTAGTGTTGGAACCTGAGGGCAAAACAAAGGCTAGAAAACACTACAGCAAGCCTTGAAGTAAATGTTTTGACATTTGTTAGAGAAATAGAGGGTAGGAAAATAAGGGTTGGCATTGGCCCCTGTGTGGAGAAGAAGTAAAACAAAACGAGTTTTGACCTCTAGTATAGGAAAGGTTGACACCGGTGTAGCTTGTAGACTCGAGGGCTGACAACTAACTTTTCATGGTTAACAACTATACGGTTGCAATGGTTATTTGGTTGAAATCATATACCAAAAACATTATAAATCAGGCTGTTAGGGGAGTTGCCTTTTTGAATGGTATGTAGATTTTTTTCTAACTAGAATTACTAATAGGGGGAGAGTTTGAAGGCATCCAAAGTCTATGTGTATTGAGCTTCCCACAACATCATTCTCGACATGTAGGTGTCTTGCTTCTTTAATTCTGCTTGTCCAAACTTGTATTCTGCAAGGCTTGAAAGGTTTAGTTGATAACTCAATTAAGTTTAGTGATATAGGAATTAATTGGTTCCTTGAGTATAAGTTTGAGAGAAATTATGTTAGGGACAATGATATATGCATATTGTTGCTATAAAAAGAGGGATCTAATGCATCACTCTTTTTCTTGTAAATAGGTTCTTTCTATTAAGAATTATGAAAGATTAGCCTTTGAGCAGTTTTCTATGTGGTTGGGATTTTCTTCAGTTAAAGCGTGGACCATCTGTTGACCTTTTAATCCCTTGAGAATAGCGCTCATTGTGAGCATGTCTTTTAGCTATCTTTCTTTGTTTTGTTTCTCTATGCCTTGGAAGGTTCTCTTTTCCTCTATTGGTAGTTTGTCTATCCTCGATTGGTAGTCTTGAATCCTTTTTTTGAGATCTATACTTGTTTGTTGTAGTAATTGCATAAAATATTTATGAATAGAGTCATGTGTTAAGGGTATTGTAGCGCTCAAGCTTTGATCTAAACTGAGACAAAATCATTTTAGGATTCTGTTTTTTCCATGGGGAGTGCATGCCATAAATTAGTGTAGATCGGCAAATGCAATTATTGCCCGTTGGTGGAATGTAAATTGTTTCTATTTATTTATGTTCACATGTTTCTTCGTGAAAGATAACTGTTATTGGTTTTAGAAGCATTTCTTTTTGTTCGAAGAAATACTTTGTTTAGAAAGAGGCATCACAAGGTTTCAGGTTTCATTTGATTTGGTGATATTACTCATTCCCTTTTCTCACTTGTATTAACATCCTCAGGCGGGTAGCTCTACTGAAGGTTCTAGTGCTTAATATATTATATGATTTTTTCAGTTTTGTGATGAATAATTAAGCTTCTTTGATGCCTTGGTTTGAAAGCATATTAATTTCAAATAATGATTTCATGTAGACCAAATTATTGAAATCATCTTTCCTGTTTAATTTAAGTAACTGTTTCCTGCAGATATGTATTACTTCCATTTTTACCATCGATCAAGATGTGAGCACTTGCATCTCTTTTGCTGCCAAGTCTATTGGTCTGAGAAAAACGCCGAATTTTGAGGTCACAGTTAGTGAAGACTTTGATTGGATAGCCAATGTAAAGGTAAACTAGTTTCGTCATTCATTCATCCTCATCTTTTCTCCTTTTTTTCTGTCCTCGGGCATGATACATATTTTCAATTCTTTCTCGTCCTTATCTATATTGTTGGTATACCAATGGCAACTCTAAAATGATTTCCCTTTTCTAAATAGCCTGGTCTGTTAAAGAAAATCGTTTGAGTAGGAAAGAAGGGGAAGTGATGATACGATATCGTAATTTTGATATATCTTTTTCTCTTCCTTCGTTCTCTTCTTCCTCTTCTTCATCTTCCTATAGTTCCAACCGCAAGGAAAACGATCCCAGAAATGATAAGGTGTCATTTAAAACCTTTGATACTTGTATTGGACAGATGTGGTCAAGCCATCCTTGTTTTCGGGCCAATGAGTCTGTCCCTGAGACTCAGTTGATCAGTCCTCTGTATATTAGTTGCAGTCGGATGCTGTTATTCATGTGGGCAGACATGGCATCATATTGCTCATAGTGTTCCATCATAAGGAGCCCGTATAGCCGTGCTATACATCAAGGGAGAGTGTGGGGAAGGGACGAATTGCTACTTTCCAGTTTTCCGGTTCATGAGGGACGATCGCACTAGATGACATAGCCTCCTCTTAGGAAGGAGATTGACTACATATATCTACATATATTACTATGTTCCTTTTATGATTTAAAATATATGTGGTGCCATCCACGTTCAAAATGCTTCAGTAAATACTCATATTGCAATAATTTGGCTTTTTGTTTGAAGTCCTGGTGAACTTTTCCATTCAGACCTCAGTCTCGAGTACAAAAATGTATAAGAATATAAATTTTTTAGATATATTTGGAAACATGTATATGAAATACTTTTATATAAAGCTTTTTTCTGGCTTAATTCGCTGCCAAGATCTGGCTGGTAGGGCTAGATTATTTTGATATGGGTCAACTTAATGTGACCCACTTAACGCTCAGAACCTCTTGGTACTGCCTGGAATGAGACGTGGGCTGTATTGCTCATGTTGCCTAGACCAGAGATTGGATCCATCACTGTTGCCTGTGTGACTTGACAGTCTTTTCTCACTTGGTTTTCCGTATTTTTTGACACAACGCTTAACTTTCAGTGGCTACAATTCTAGCTTTGAATATTGTAGAGTCATCTTACTCTTCATGCTGTCCATTTGGGTACCTGTTTCCTTTGTTGAGTTTCTGCTTTGATTGTTAAGTTGGCTTTTGCTGACCGTTCTCGCACTATTCCTTGTAGTAGAAAACCTGTACATGTCTAAAAGACTATTCTTCTTCTTGCTTGGAATTGATGAAAATTATTGGGCCCAGGATCTGTGCCTCAAATAGGTCATAGCGTGTAATAACTTGATTTTAAATTAGATCAATGTAGAAAATAATTTCCACGTTCTTAATGACTAAGAGTCTAACCAAGTTTTGCCCATATATTTTTCTTAATGAATAAGAGTTAACAATTTTTCATTTTTCAGAATAGATTGATTTTAACGTGTAATAGGTACCCGTCTACGTTGTGGATTTATTCTTGAGGCAAAAGATATAGATTTTGCATTGATTTATCTCTTACGTAATGTTGTTTGCAGGAAACATTTCAACCAATTCAGGTAACAGATGGTCTCTGGGTTGTGCCTGAATGGAGTACACCACCGGTATGGCTTTATCTGAAAACCATCCACTATCTCCATTGCCAGTAAGATAGGAATGCCTTGAGAAGCAAGCTTTCGTGAATGTTTTACAGTATCACTAAAACTCACGATAATGCTGCATAATCTATATGTATGAAAACAATTTCTCTTTGAAGTCTAGTTTTCCAAAACATACCTGGGAATTATGATGCTTAATTCAGTTGTCTTGTTGTTTATACTCTTATATCAGCTCTAGATCCAAAATTCGGAATGAATTCCTGAGTCAGAGATTACTAATTGGATTATTATTTCTTCATCAAATATACTTGGTATCTATATTCACAATCATGGTGTCTATTTGGCTCAGTTTTAGTCTTTCTTCAACATAAAATATTTATCTGGAATTTGTTCCATGTAAAAAAGTGTTTGGAAACATGGTGCAATGGGTTGCAGTTCGAATGGTAACATGGTGAAAGATATCTTTTCTGAGGACCACTTAATTGGAGAAAAACATAATCAGCAAAAACTGACCTTATCAGGGCTGACTTTATCAATAAACGTCCGTGTCACTATTTTATGGAAAGTGCTCCTTTTAGTGTATTGAAGTGCACCATCTCAGGCTCCTGAAGACAATGGAAGGTAGGGAAGAAGAGGGAGAAAAAAAATGTACATGAAGGAAGAGACTGCTTAAGGTTCTAGATGTTTCTGGAAATTTTATTTACAGCTTGTGAATATGAAGTTGGAACAAAAGTTGAAGATAACTGGGCAAGGAAAGTTGAAAAATGTGTACGTGATATATGAGTGGAATGATTAGAGAAAGGGTAGTGATCTTGCTCTTCAAATGGAATGGAGAAATGAACCAGTTCCTGTGAGCTGCGCGAAGAAGTGCTATGCTGTTCTACAGAGGTTACTCTTCTTTTAAAAACCATATGTGGTTTAAAACAGTTAGAAGATGAAAATGAGGAAAAATCAGAAACCAAGTATAAAAGTTAACGAGAAATATTGTGGAGTATCTATCATATGATGGATATAATGGAGGTAAGAGTCATAGAACATGCCGTTGTGAGATATCCAAACTCTTTCAGCTAATGGGTCATAGCATCAATATTCTTGTAGTTCAAAAGCTTTCCAAAGGAAAAGCTCAGCTCTTAATTGCGCAGAAACTTGTTGCATTCCAAAGGTGGAGGATGAACATAGCGCACACTAAAATGTACAAAGAGGAGAATGTTTAGAAGATTGAATGGATAGGCTGGACTAAGGGCTCTTATTTGTAAGAAATGGTGAGCTTCGGCGATTTATCAGAAAAAGTGCTGTTAAAACTGTCACATCATGAAAATTCAATGGAACAGATGCATCAAGAAGAAGACTTTGGTTAACATCTAGTATATATTGATGGTTCCATTCTGCTAAACTATGTTGTTGGTTGGTATAAGGATATGAACGTTGAGAAGGTATTCCTTTTCATGAAGGGATGTTTGAAATTCATGGAGATATTTCCTCCCCCTAAATCTAGTATCAAATAGTTAATATGAGTCTTAAATTGATTTTCAATCATGTGAACGAAGGTTTGGAAAACATGTAAGATAAGATGTGGCATGAAGTACACCGGAATAAATCAGTTGAAATTGTCAATAAATGTAAGAAACAAATTATATTCGAACCTTGATGTTAGAAGAAGGATGATTGTAATCTGAAAAATAAAATATCTTGCTTTAACCTAGACTATAAGTATATTAAGAAAACTCCTTGGGATGAGGAACTTTGATCTTGAGAACTCAATTTTAACATCATTGATACTTTGCTGAATGAGGGCGACTAGTTAACAATGCCCTAGACTCCACAGGTTATATGACTCAGACTCATTGAGAACAGAAAATGTGAGAGGATGATGTTTTTATGTCTGTAACACCCAACATGAACAGCTGACCATCTTTATAGCCCTCCCCTACGCCCTTCCCTGTTTCCTGATCTTGTGCCAAGCAACCAATGAAAACGCCAAAACGTTTCGCATTACATTGAGTGTTTCAAGCATCTCGGGGCTTTCAAAAACTTCAGGGTACATAGGTGATACCCAATATATGTTTTTGCAATTCTTGTGTAGATTGGTATAGCATATTCCATTCTTCACAAGATACTTATGGAAAACAGTTCCCAAGTTTAGGTACTGGTTTCCTGTTTATTGAATTATCTCTTCCTGTTTCGAACTAAAGCCTGAGCTTCAAGAGACATTGAGATCTCATAGAGGACTCCCGTGATTCCCTGATGGAGGCAAGAGCAGGTTGGGGAAATTTTCCGTATTTTATTGAATTGTATCCTAATCATTAGCACACAAAACGGTGGATTTCTTTTGGAACAATCAATGTATCTACTTAATTCTTGACTCGTAATAAAGCATTGCAAATTAATTTCTGATAAGAAATGATTTTTATCATTTAGGCGCACCGGGATAACTGCGGTCTTTGTCTGCATATCCATTGAGAAATAGATTATTTGAAAAGTTTGCTGCTTGTCTGATTTCTGAAACAATCAGAGATACCTTGGGGCGCTGTCATTCATGTGCTGCTAACCTCACGCGTTCGTAGAAGTTCATAATCACGCCATACTCATCAATTTTTCTTCAATTCATGCCTCAACCCAGTACCTATGAGATTGTTGATCCTCCCTTTCTCTTTCAACAATGTGTGAACAAGTTGGGTCCACGAGGTAATTTATTTCATCCAGCCTATATGCTACCTGAATAACTCTGCAGCCCTCCATTTTATCGAAATCGTACAAACTCCTCTGATTGTGTTGTAGCAATCTTCTCTATAACCTCTGAAATCTGTAAGGCATGAGACGGAATAGACATCAGTCTGAAATCTGATAAGAATGGAGACCAATCCTGAACCACCATTGACACATGCAAAAACAAGATATCTGATAAGAAAGAAAACCCGATCCGCTCCACACATTGCGGAGATACCCAAGAATGACTGCCGAAACAGGATATCCCAAGGGCAGACTATTCTTAATCATAGTGAACAACATCAAACACAGGCAGAAATCTGGGTCACCAACTTGAGATTGAAATATAGTAGAGAATGGGGAGCATGAAGAGTATGGAGAATTTTCCAGATTAACAAGCCTAAACATCTGATACCATGACACAAACCAAAAAGGAATAAACAGGGGGAAAATTTTCTGTCACATCAATTGCTGATTGTATCCGAGGTGACACCATATATGGGATACTCTTCCAAATTTCGAAACCGATCAACCTAACCAACTTAGAAAACTGGCCGGCAGCCCAACCAACATAGGAAACTGGCCGGCAGCCCAACCAACATAGGAAACTGACCACCAACCTAACTATTAATTATACTTTTTCCCACAGATAACATTCCGCCTTAACTTTTGACCATCTTCTGTTATTAGTCAACCCGTATGGAAGAATTTGTTACCCCAACTTTCATGTTATACTTCCTCTGATTCTACTGCAGTGCTGTTGTATGAGAGTATTTAGGGAAGTGTTTATGTCAGGTCAGATTTGTAGTGTTTAAGATGGTCATATGAGTATAGTATTTAAAAATTATTTGCTTGGGTTTTGCCTATATCGAAAAAGGTTCCAAATAAAAATTATGATGTACATTTGCACTAGTTTAATGGAAAATATTCAATGGCTTATGGTTGTACACGCTTTGAAATGGACATATGTTGTTGGGGGAGCCACATAAACATTGGATTTGTTTTGTTTCACTGGATTGGACTGTTGCCATTACAGAATAGATTAGTGAAGCTCAATATATATGCACATGTTTTATTCTTTTGTTATTCATGACAGGACGTTCACGCAAGAAATATATTCCTAAATCCAGGTATGGCATTTGGAACAGGGGAGCATCCTACAACTAGGCTATGCTTGATTTTGCTAAATGGGTTAATAAAAGGTGGAGAAGCGGTCTTAGACTATGGCACAGGATCTGGGATATTGGGAATTGCAGCTGTTAAGGTATACTGACCTAAAATTGTTTTCTGATTGATATTCGTTGGAGCACAAAGACATTGATGGGGTTCTACGATATATTTTCCTTCTCATTTACTGTCTTCCTTTTCGTCCATTTGCCTAGGAATGTTGCCCTCAAATTTAAGTAATAAATTTCTTACTTTTTACAGTGTAATCCTAAAAAGATGAATGGAATGTGACATTATTTGTCTTGGATGTAGGCATAGTGGGTTTCATCTGTTTCAGTTGTTCTAAATCCACTGCAATCTACGTAAGTCATCAAATATTGATGAAATATGGTGTTTTTGAGTGCACATAATTGTCATCCTCGGTCTCATTTGCTGTATTTTTTAATGTCCTCTTGACTACCAAAGACATCTACATCATGTGGCTTCAAACTCTTTTAGTCCATTTATGACAACACATTGAACTGAGTGTTGTACATACTCACCAAAGGATTTGCCCTCTTTTATATCATATTATGAGAACTTTTGTGTCGCCCTGGTTAAGTGCTCGTTATCATCTATGCTTTATAGTGCTCAAAAATGTTCTTTTAGCCCTGATATTATTACCAGGCTTGAGGATTTCTCTAACCTACGCTTTGGTCCGAAATGCAGATGGGTGCGGCCTTTTCAGTTGGAGTAGACATCGAACCCCAGGCACTGTCATCTGCCCGTCAAAATATTGCTTTAAATGCAATAGAACCTGGGAGGATGCCCTTGTACTTGGCTCCTGTTAAAGATCAGACGCGAAGTGACGGATTGAAAACTAGAATTGAGTCATTTGACGTTATTATTGCAAATATACTATTAAATCCCTTAACGGAATTGGCAGAGGAACTGGTTTCCTATGGGAAGCCAGGTGCAGTTGTTGGGCTCTCGGGAATCTTACATGATCAGGTACGGTGCTTGGAAACCCATTATAGGATTCATCCTTTAGTACTGTCAATGGCTCTGGCCAGGCCCTGGCCCTTAGAACCTCTGTGAACCTTGCATTGGGCCTGAGAAAAGCCTCAAAGGTGGGTTCTAGACTGGACTTTTATGAATCCTGAACTGCTGCAGAGGTGGGGATAACTGGGGGTTTGGGAGTTATGGGATGCTTTTTGACTGCACCTCGTCAAAAAGCTAGACCCTGCCCATAAAACGTTGGGGAAATATTCCCAGAGCCTGTGAAAGCGTTGCAACATGAGAGTTTCTAACGTTCAACTGTTCAACTTTACAATAAGTTGTTGCTGCTGTGTGCTGGGCAATTATTTTTCTCATTCGCCCTTGTGGAAGGGTTTGTTTCCTTTTTACAATCATTTACATGGCTTTAATTCCCTTCTCAGGTCCCCCAAGTTGAAGAAAAGTATTCAAAGTATCTGGAGAGCATATCCGTTTCTGAGATGAATGGTTGGGCATGTCTCGCTGGTACCAAGAGGTGAGTTATCAGGGACTTCCAAAATGACAATTGCATCTCTCACTCACAAGAGAACTAGTAAGAAGCATATGGCGGACAGTTTCCTTAAAGGTTTTTAAATTGACACCACTATTCATGACCTGACCAGAGTATGCCCATGTATATGAAATGTTGACTTTAACTATCATTCAAGAAGACATTACCCTACTGTGACCGCTGGAGATGTGATGATGGTACATCATATGGCAAAAATATAGACATGCTTGTGTAAGTATTTCTTCTATTAAAAATTATTTTGAGACTCTGATCTTGTCTTGCAAACTTTTCCTTGCTTGCTTACAGGCATTTTTACTTCGCCCAGAAGAAGAATGAGGATACTGTGTGAGAAGAGTGATAAATAAGGGTATCCCATTGGGGCATGCATTATAGTTGACAGAAGGAAGGATATAAGGTGAAAATTGCTTGATAATATAGGAAATGACATTTTAAAGACTAGGAAACTTTATGCACCTTGATTTATCAACACAAGCCTAAATTACTCGTTATTGTGGTCTGTTTTTAAAATTTTAATCATGCTACATTAAAGCTCTAGTTGAACAGGTTCGCTTAAATGGATAAAGGGCCATCATAACATCCAAGCATTGGACAGGGATTTTGCACTAAAGCTTCTATTTTTGGGGAATCCTTGGACATAAAATATGTGCTTATTGTTTTCCCCATGGTTGACCTCTAACTTTTTATTTTTCCATCTCTTATTTAAGGGTTGATATTTAAGGGTTATGCCAAGACTTTCACCAACCTAGAAGCTCCCTTAGTCTTATTTAGATGTTGCCACAGGGTTCTGTCTAGAGTTTATAAGCTTATATTTACCATATAAACCTATTGCAATATCGTCATAGGATTGAACGATGTAACCATAGTTGCCTTGCCAACTCAAGTTACTTGAAAGGTTATGCACGGAGTGGTGTAAGTTTTTATTTACATTATAGGGGTAGTTGAGCATCAACGAAGTTATATTGTCTCCAATGCCTATAGTTTTCCCTATAGGCTCAAATTAGTACTGCAGTATTGGTGTACGATTGAACCATGTAAGCACAGTTGCCTCGCAACCTTGAGTTACAAGAAAGAAAAGAAAGGTACATTCGAAAGATGAATGTGTTACTCGAATCAGAACTATACAAGGAGTAATGTAGGATTTTATTTACATTATAAGCTTATTTGAGTCTTTAATGCCTATATTTTTCCCTATTGGCTCATTTTGATATCCCTTCAAGGTGATATTTGGAACTTTATAGGCTAATTTCTCCTTACAAGTTTATTTCCTCGCCTAATAAAAGTTATGTCACAGGGATCATAAGTTTCTATTTGACATGTAGATGTATTTACAAATGAAGTTTCCAAAGTGTGTAGAGATATTATTGGACAAGGAGAAGAGGGGGATGAATATTCTAACTTATTTATTGATGATAAAACATAATTTTCATACGAAAGTCATCAATACATGACTAAATATTTCAAACGATTCGTTAATGATTGATCTGTTGGAGTTGTGGAGAATGATCTACTGGAATTGTGGGATTTTCCATGAATAAGTTGATTCAGTTCTTGAGGTAAGAACTTGTGGAACTGTAGACTAACGAGGATTCTTCAAACAATGTCCATCTAGTGTCCTCTTTTATTATATTTATCCTTCTGTATTCCTTCTGAGTGTTTGTCCCATTATTTTTCTTTGTGCAAAGATGAGGACAGTCATCTCCAATATGGTCAACTCTAGTCTCCAGGCTTTCTCTCATGTAATGAACAATGTTTAACCTTAACCTAGTAAAGAACAGGCTTTGCTAAACAAGTTCAATCAAATCCAATGAATAAAGTAATAACCGAATTTTGAAGACATTCAGATCACTTGTTGAGTTTTGGTTGGTGAAGCTTCAAATGATTAGGAGCTTGAATCCAACTCATCTAGAAAGAGTTGCATGAAGAAGAGACATGAAGGAACAATATAATTTTCTGAGAGAGAAAATTATAGATAAAGGGTAGCTATGTTGGTCGAATAACCAGGTGAGTTGACTTAGTAACTAGATGACTCAATGTTGCAATTGAGTTGACCCAAAACCAACAAAACTTAAGAGATAAAATTGAATAAAAGAACAAAGTTAGTCAGCTAAGCAACTAAGTGAGTTGACCTACGACTGAAGCTTGCTACTAGTGAGTCAAAACTTAGGAGAGAGAAATAAGATGACTGATATCTAAAATTAGATGCGACATGAAATCTCAAGTTACAAGTCTCATAGCATCTTTAACTATTTGCAGCATATAATGATTGTTATAAGCAAAATATGAGCATGTATGCAAAACAATTAGACACGGGTTCACCAACCATTGAGGAGAACATCACACAAATATCCATGCCAACTTAAGGGTTGACCTAGTAAAACCGTTGACTGATCATATCATTTCTAATAGTAATCCCAATGGTCTTGTCCTTTGGCTCTATGAATAATTTATCATATGAACTTTCTATCAACAATACTTCAAATCAAGCTATTCCTATTGTAAATTGTTATTCATTTTTTATAGCAAGTTCAAAAATCTTTAAACTTCCTATATTTAAGAGCCTACAAATCAAGCAAGCACACTCATTGTGTAAGATTATTTGTTAGTCAATTATTATTTTTCTTTGCATGTAAAAGAAAAATAACTTCAAAGAGTGTTGTTAACAATGAAAAGTAAGCTTATTGTCTAGTGTAAGGAGGTAAACCTATGGAAAAAATTATAAAGGTTTCATTGAGGAGAATATGAAAGCTAAAAATAGGAACCCTTTCGCTAAAATACTTTAAAAAAGAGTATTTTTGGTTCACAATTAGGTAGTGCTAACTTAGTGAGCTGACTCCAAAGAGATTAAAAAGATGCCTAATCTTATTTAGATCTACTAGGTAAAGTCTAAAGAAAATCAATAAGAATAGTAGAAAAGTTGGGAAGCTCTAAATAACCAATTGACCCTCACTAATGTCCTCTTGGAACCCTCCACAGTACTTTTTGACCAGCAATAAGTATCAAAGAAAACACAAGTAAGAAAATTAAAATCTATATGTAGATCCATGGCTAGCTCTCTAAGAACCTTATTTGCCAAAGAGCATTCCACTTAAAAGACCTTGATTCCATGCCTCATGTAACACTTTGAAAAAAAAATCATTCAAACAATTGATTTTGCTGTTTGGAAGGTCCTAGGAAATGGACTTTATATACTCTCCAACAATGTGAGGACATATCTGTAGAATAATATCAAGAACTATTATTAGTAAATGTTAAAGCTACAAAAATGTTGTTATGTGCTTAAAAAAATTTCATGTCATGAAAAGAGATTTAGGACAAAATAGAAACCACTTATGAGAGAACATCCAAAGTAAAGTATTTCAAGAATAATTTATTAGTACATAAATATGATTTATTTTCATGCATGAGAGTAAATTTGTCTTAGAATGGTCTAACCAATTTCAGAGATTACTAGTAGTAGGAAAGATATTTAGGAAGATAATATCTCCTAATCTTGACATATTTAAGAAAATCTTGAAATGATTGCTAAGAAAATCATTGTTTACAACTGCCAAGTGGACACAGATCAATAAAAAATGAGGGAGGGAATTTATTAAATGACCAATGTTTGGTCAGCAAGGTGTTTTATAAAAAATTCGAAGGTATTAAGACAAATCAATTTTTTTTCCTCTCCACATTCTCATCATGACAAGGAGAAATCAGTCTAAGGCAAGGGTGATAGACATTTCTTCTAGTGATCGTAAAGGGTTAGGTTGTCAGGCCTACAGTGGTTGTAACTATTCGATGATGATCATTATGATTGAAGACTATTAAAGGCACTATCTATAGTTTTGAATACTCAATGAGAATTTCTACACATTCCAAGTGAGTAACAACTATAGGAATCAAATGGCGAGTTAGGAATTAGATGGGTTCGAAAGCCGATTGCAGGTATACTTGTGCCTCTTTCCTTATCGGTATCGGATACGTAGCGGATGCCTGGTAATAAATTTCAGGAACGCGGCTCACAGTTGGGGTATCGACGGCACGTGGGGCCCACGCAGAAACGGACCTGCCCGAGTCAGAGCCGTCTTCCTGATGACGTCATCAGGGCATGCACGACTTGCCAGAATTCTGTCCTTTAGCATGATGGGCATAATTTGAAGGGACGAAACGGCGTCCTCTCTCTCTCTCTCTCTCTCTCTCTCTCTCTCTCTCTCTCTCTCCGAGGCTTCTTCTCATGAGGGATCGCGGGGGTGTGTGGAGCTCTTTGTCGCATCTCGTCCGCCGGTCGATCCCGTAGAGAGGATCGCGGCAAGAAAGAGTGAGGTTCGGGAGTGGCCGAGGGACGCTGCGGATCTTCTGCTATTGCTGCCGCTGACGCCGTCCCTCCCTCCTGCGATTGACGGATTAGAGTGCTGCCCCATCCGGTGAGCAGCAGCTGATCTCCAATGTCTGCTTTTCTGTTTCATTTCTCAATTTGGGCAGGACGCCTCGATCGCTCTTTCTGGTCGCTGATACCTAGTTGCTCTAGCCTGTTGGCATTGCTGCCGTGTAAGAATAACGGCTACTTTGCTCTCCGCCGTCGCTGGGAATTTAAGAGGCATTTGCCAACATGTCTTGAGTTATTTTCTTTTCTAAATTTTCATCTTTCATGCCTTTGTTCACCGGTTGCCTCTTCGGTCTGGTAACTAGGAACAACAGTAGTTACCGCTACTACTTTAGGAGTCAGCATAACGGCCCCTTTCGTATTTGATTCGATCAGACCAAGTTTAATCTTGTATTGTACTCAACGAATACATTCGCTGGCCACCGGACCTTCTTCGACCGTTCAGTGTCTCCCTTTCTTCTCCAATTTATTTTCTCTTCTTGACTAGTATTGCGTATTTCTTCTCCACTTTGGATTTGCAGCAATATTTGCACATATTCATATATCCTTTATTATGCGACAGATTGGAAGAAAGGAAAAGACAGCAGAGCAGTGAGGGGCAGGTCTCTCTTGTCTTAAGGTATTGTTGATCGGGATGTCTGACTCTACAGCTACAGTTGCCAACATTGAGACACGATTCAGCTACCCGGAGCTTATTGGCAGGGGTTCCTTCGGTGACGTATTCAAAGGGTAGGTTCTCTTAATGTCGGCTGTTCATTAATTTGGCGAAACTTTCTTTATTCTATTTTGTTGGAACAATGAAGGCTTGTTGCTTATTTTCGTTCTTCCATCGAAAGCTGGATCATATGTTCTATACAACCAATCAGATGCAGTTGGAGACATCCTAGCTCTAGCAGTTATCAAATTCAAACATTCTGAAACTGGACAACGTCCTCAACATGCTTTCATTATTTTTAAGCTTAATGGTTGCGTGGATCACCCTTTGAAGACAATTACAAGGTCATGTGAAATGTAAATGCCGAGTGAGAAGAACGCTCAATGGGAATGATACAGAGATTTCTCGGAAGAATCATTTGATGTGATTCATAAAATTTTTCTTCTTTGGAGTAGCATCACGACCATGATAAAAATGAATTTCATTTCATTTCATTGAACTGTCCTCGTTACACATTTAGAGCTGTTGTAGTAGTGCTCCATCATCTGATTTACTGGTAGTATGTTTGAAGTGTTCTGAGCTGTGCACCTATCCATCATGATTATTTTGTTGGTGATAAGCAATGCAATTCATAATGGTAGAAAACTCCCTGGTGACTTTCTGTTTGAAAGTAGATGGTACTGTTGCATGAAAAAAAATGAAAAAAATTACGCAGATGTATATAATTAACTCTTTCCACTCAAGAGAAGCAAGCATACATCGAAATGGTGCGTGTTCCTCGTAGCTAGCCAGGGTCTCCTCGCCAATAAAAGTCATGCTAGCCCACTCTCTGATATGTTGAAACTCAAAACTGGAAAACTTTATCACCTGAGCATACTTCATGCCTAGTACGTGATTGTTCCATTCCTTGCAATGGTTCAAGTAGACCATTCACCCAATCGTTTGCTAACAAGGAATCAATGGATATAAATCTACGCAGCACCCATTCAACAGGAAAATGAGCTTTAGCAACTGTATTGATGTTGACTGTTTCATTTTCTTCGTTCATATTTTCAAAAATTCACTTCAGCTAGATGTTTAAACTGTTGACATTGTGCATAGAAAGCAGGATGTCTGTAGATCATGAAAGATTTTATCTCATTGTGCAAGCCAATCACAGTACTCTAGCCATAGCCTCTTGACCAGTGATGGACCATCAAGTTGGTCATCTTAAAAGGTTGAATCCTGTTCAAAGAGAGTGCTATAAGCTTTTATTTTCTCTATATCTCTTTCCTTTGAAAACTCTATGGCTTCTCTAAAGTTCTTAATATAGTTTTCAATGATTCTTCCCTATTAAAGCTGTTGGTAGACAACGAATCAACATTATTCATAAATCTAAAGATCTTATTTTGATAGATCTAATTCAAGTGGCCAATTTCTGAAGCAAAAACGTAAAACATTCTTAATACGTTCGTCTAGGTTACCAAATTAAGGAAAACATGTTTTAGGCAATATGAAGTCACATGCTTGAAGGTTAGGAGGAAAGTGAAAAATTATGCCCACTTCATTTGTCTTGCATTTCGCCTGATTTCTTTGAACTTTTATTCTGCTAGTTTATTCCAGTGAATAAATGGGTTCAACATTATATTATTCATTTTATTGGAGAAAACAGCACGTCAATCACCCCTTGATTTTTCCTTTTCTCAGTCCTGAAACAGTTTCATTGCTTCCCTATTCTGAAGACAATGAAGCCACATCTTGAAGATTTTTGCAAAATCTTAGTGTCATTATCAAGGGACCCACAAGATGAAAATTTATTGTGATTTATCAATGGATGCGCTTTGGTTCTCAAAAAATTAGGTTCAATTTTTTGAAGAATATTACTTAGTATTTGCAAAATCTTCGAATGTAATTATCATTCGACCCACATCATGAGTATATGTTATAGTTTGGCAGTGAATATGCTCTTTTATTACTGCACTTGCTTCTAACTTAATTAAGTTCACATTTATAAGTATTTGTTTGAGAAACATTACCAACTATGAAACTTGTGTTGTGAAACACGAGAGGAAGACTGTACACAGAACATGTCTAAGCTTCGAGTCTTAACACATCATGGTTTTCAGTTAAAGTGTTAGAGATGCAATGACGTGAATGAAGTATAAATTAAAATAAAGGTTACTAGTATGTCACAATCTGATGGCTGAACATAAATATTACAATGAGCAACTAGGTAGCCAACAGCATTGTGTTTAAATGATATTTGTCGTTTCTTAATTCCAAGTAAAGCAGGAGCATGACACTACTTGATTTACGATTAATGAATAACGTCTTGAAATGATGCTTTGATGTATACATTTTGAGACTATTGGATATCATGGATTGATTAATAAAATCGAGAATGAAACGGGAGTTAAAAGGTGAGGGAAAGGGCTTAAATGACTGAATTCGTTACCATGCTCAGGAAAAACATGTCAATCTAGGATAAGAGTCAAGTTTTCTTTACCAAGTAATGCAATTCCAATGAGCTTTTCTTACTAAGAAAGTAGGTTTTGAAAAGGTTTTGAAAAGGTTTTGAAACATGTCAACACTTGAGGGAAGTAATATTCAAGATAACTAATATTTGTTCTCTTATGCTTGCAAAATTTTTGTGTACGCTCCTCATGGACTCTACATCTTATGAGCTTTGCTTCTTTCTTATTAGTATTTGCTGGGGATGTTTAGCAATATTTTCCATGTTATTCGATATTGTTTGCTCATTTGCCGTCCAAGATTTAGATTTTTGTTTCATCCGTAACCCTTTATTGAAGTATTCTGTTCTTCTTTCTTAACTGTTTGGAAAGTGTCCTGAGATTATTTGAACGATCTGTTTTAATTATTCATGAACTATAATTAAAGATGAAATACGCAATATTGGTTTTATGCTTACAAAATAAGGGATTACTGACTGTTTATGCTAGGCTTTTTCTACTGCGCCTAACGTGATATCCAGCTTTATGCCATTTTCGAATGGTAATAGTGATGCTTTGTCCTGATTATTATATATGGTGCCATATTTTTTTGTTAGGTTCATGTGCTTTGAATGGTCTACTAAATGCTGTGATATGCTTACAACGGTTAGTTTGATGCAAAAGAAGAAAACTTGGTCTTTATTTTTCCTACTGTTTCTTATCATTGCAGTTTTGACAAGGAGCTCAACAAAGAGGTTGCAATAAAAGTTATTGACTTGGAAGAAGCGTGAGTTGTCCATAATTTTTCTCTGTTGTTATTTAAAATGTATTACGGCACACAGTCATAAAAACTAGAAGAGAAAAAGGGATGTACTTGTTTACTGTATCAATGTGCTGTCAATGTAACCCTGTATGATGTAGCTCTTTAGTCTACTCAAATAAGGCGATGACTCTAAAATACCAGACCTCCCAGACTGAAGTGCAGTTATGTCCAACAAATAAGGTTTTTTACAGTCCGTCAACCAATCAGTTTGGAGAATGTAGAATGTATGTAGTTTAAGGTTATAAGAACATATTTTTGTAGGCTACAAAGCCCACTGTCTTATTTCCTTGTAATGGTTTTAGATAAAGTTAAACATTTCTTAAATCATAAATAAGAATTATAATATCATGAGAAGGTTTTGAAAATTATATGCTATTAAAATTACAGAAATAAGTCTTTGTGTGGAATCTCCATAAATGAAATTAGCAACTCCTAAGTTGAATCCTAAAGTAAAGGAAATGTTTATTTGAAATCTAAGACTAAATCTAAATTCCAATATGCTCATCTGTGTGTTATTCTTGGAATTTCAATTTGAATGGTCAGTGAAATGAGGAAAATGAGATTGTCAAAACTTATCATAAGCATGGATTTCAAATAATGTGAATTCTTGTTTTTCCTAGTGACCTTGTCCATGCTTCCCTTCATGACCTCATAGGCTGAATCCGTACATCCTCAATACCTTGTTCCAACTTATATTTGATTTTTAAATTCTTATTTTTTATCGAGGATGGTTTTTGTCTTTAGATTGATTTAGAAGGTAAGGTATTGCTCAGTTCTATCAGTAGCACACGCTCTCTACAACTTAGAAGCAGTGACTATTGTGAACTGGAAACTGAAAGGGAACACCAATACTCGGTTTGGAAGGATGAAAGGAACAATAATCTTCTGGAATTGAGGGGCATATTGCATTTGAGGAAGCTTGTATACAAGATGATGATGACCAACCAAATAGAAAGAAATTGATAGAGAACTGGAGGGATATCCTTGTCCGGGAAGAATGCTGTTGCCAGCTGAGGTTGAGAGGTTTTTGGCTGCCAGAGAAGGAGAAGACTACATATTTTCGTAAGTTGGCGTGAGGCATGAAAAGGGATGCCATTTACTTTCTAGAAGAGGGGGAGAAAGAGGTCACCGGGCGAAATGTCATCAAGTGGCTCATTTGCAACTCCTATGCACATTTTTTCACTTAGGAGGACGGATGGTGGCCATCATTTGTGGAAGATATCTACCGACGGTCTCTGAGTAAGAGAAGAGAGCTGTCAGTACTTTTTATAGAGGAAGAACTGAGAGCAGTCACTCTTTTGGTGGGATGGGATGAGGCCCCACGACTGGATGACTTCTGTCCTTCTCCATCATAAATGAAAGGACTTAGTTAAATATGATTTGATGCGGGCTGTGGAGAGTTCCTGGGGGCCTTTGAGGAAGTATTCTTGGTGCTGATTCTGGAAGTATCCGGTGCTCATCACATGTATGCTGAGATTTAGGATAGTGTGTTTACGATGGGGATGATCTGTGCAAACCTAATGCACTCAGTAAGCAAACGCAAAAATCAAAAATCTATTTTTGGCAGTATACTAGTGCCTACTACTAGAGAGTAGTGTTAATGAAGAGGTCTTGCTTTCAAGCTGGATTTTGAGGGTGTGAATGTTTGAATAAGGTAATACTTCCTCTACTAAGTTATGCTGAAGGTTGGATTCATGGATGTATGTGTAGCTGTGGTAAATGGGAAACCCTTGGCTTATGTTTTAGAAGGCCTCAAGTAGGTAGAGACTTCATCTCCTCTACTTTTTATTCTAGTCGTTGACATGATGAATAGATAAGCAGAATGTCGTAGAGGGAAGAAGCTTTTTCTGGATTTAGGGTTTTCGAACTTACTGTATGGATTGCATAGTTCTCATTTACAGTATGCGGATGATGCTACACTATTCATATCCATGGAGGGCATCAAGATGCAAATAGAGTGATGCTAGTGATTTTGGAAGCAATTACTGGCCTAATGACAAACTTTGGGAGAAGCATTTTGTAGGTTCAATGTGGAGAGAAAGGAAGTTTAGAGGACAGCTTGATGTGTAGTTTGCAAGATGTGTGGTCTCCTGCTTGGTTACTTTGAGCCTCTAGTCACCTCAGGTGCCCTTTTCTAGAAGGACATGTAGTGGACTATGTAGGCATTTGACAGAAGAATGGCTGGCTGGAAAGGGAAGCTTCTGCTATTTGGAGGAAGGGTGACATTTTTGTAAGAATTATGAGTTTTAGTCTTCCAATTTGCTACCTCTCCATTTGACGATCCTCAGGTCAGTGGATAAGAAGTTATAAGCCATTAGATTCTTTTTGCATGGATCTAGTGCCATAGTCTCAGGATTGCATGGCATGACTATGATTCGTAAGGATAGAAATAGAGTCTTTGCCATTCAGTGTATTCCTTTTAAGAGAATCGCTGTAGAAATGGAGAACCAATGGTGCTAGACTTCGGGTGGGTGGAAGTTATAAGGCAAAAATATTTTAGGAAGGGGAGAGTTTGTTATTTGGTACCGCTTTACAATAACATTTTCGAGGATATCCTGCAGGCTGCAGACAAGCAATCGTTTCGTTAGATGTTTGTATTGTAACTAGAAAAAAACTAATTATTTTCCTCTTCTCTTTAGGATTCCTCATTATCCTCACAGTACTGCTGCATGATCTTTTGATGATGGAGTAGAATAAGGTGCGGTGACCTGTATGTGCGAGGAACTTAAGGGATGTGGGGATTTAACTACTTCATATGTTAGTTCTAATTGCAAGAAAGATATGTTGTAGTCCTTACGGCTGATGGGTGGTGGTGGTGGTGAAAATGGGAGAAAAGAGGCGATTTCTTTATTGAAACCAACTTACCAGGCAATCTCTTTTAAGTTGATAGAAGCATTTAAGGTCTGGGCCGCATCAGTTACTGAGCACATCATCCCTTTTTATTGTGAAGCTTCCCCTGGAAGCTTACTACTGATCTTATGGCGTCATTTTTTGTACTCGATCCGCAGTACAGAATCCTTGTCTGGCAAGGATGAAGAAAAGGCAAAAAAATTCTTCCTTGGTTGTTCCTTTTCATTGGAGATCAAGACGTTGGTACATCTCAACGTAGCTCTTCTGTGGCTGCATGCTGTCGGTGCTATGGGGTTGTCTTTGTAGCCTCAAGGGAGTTAGATCTCACAATTTGGCGGCTGAATTTACATACCGTACTTTGAGCTATTTGGATGTAGATAAATTGATGTATTTTTAATAAAAATTGCCTCAGCATATCGGGTCTTTGTGGGGGTGTGACAATTAAGCGATTGGTTGTGGTCTTTCTCTCAAGAACAAGACATTCGTAGTTTTATTGTTATTTTTTCTTCTTTTTGGCCATCCTTTACCTTGTTGGTGTAAGACTATAAAGGTTTACATGGATTTGTTTTCGAGAGAGGACGTTTTCACACATTCCAGTCTTGGTTTCTGTAGAAACCACTTGCATCTTTCCCACCCTCTTGCGTCGTTTCATTTTGTAACAACAAAAAAGTAATTCTCCAGTTACAATATTGGCACGTTGATCACTGGTTAACATGAATCATGACCTTTTTTTCTGTTGTTATGTTGTCTAACAATATGGTTTATCTTTATTGACTTCCAGAGAAGATGAAATCGAAGACATTCAAAAGGTATTTCCCTGAAATAGCATTTTCGATGACAATCCATTCATGGTTGGTCTCTTACAGAAAGATCCATTCCAGGAAATCTCAGTTTTGTCCCAGTGCCGTTCTCCATATATTACGGAATATTATGGTTCATATGTCCACCAAACCAAATTATGGATAGTAATGGAATACATGGCTGGTGGATCAGTCGCTGATCTGGTGGGTTATCTTCGCTGGTCTTGTTCCATTTTTTTTTCCATCTTTATGCTTTATTATCAATTGGCCTTGTACATGTGTTGCCTTGGTTTCGTACGTTAACTGTTGCATGAAGCTTTTCCAATCTATTTTCACCACTCAATGTTGATTCCTAGATGACGATTGGTTGAACTTTGTTTCTGTCAAAAAGGGTATGAAAGCAATAGTCAACTCAGAATTGGGTCCGACTTGGAAGTCCTAAAAATAAGGTGAATTTGGACTACTGGTCTGATACGCTCTGCTCTTTATTTTTCATTGAAAAATCCTTTCAAAAGATCTTTCGTCATATTAAGGGCGTTTTTATTTGCTTCCGGAGCAGATGTCAGAATTGAGCTTGAAAACAAAATGAGAAAAAGAGTTGCACGCTGCTGCTGTTCACTCCGGTGCCATCATAATTGGCCATTGCGGCTACTGCTGTGTTTTCCACTGCTACATTATCATCCTTCAATGTCAAAACCTTTCGGCAGTTGGCCTTCTCCTTTAGTCTTCTTCTTACAATCATCTAGTACTGTAACTTTTGCTCAACCCTTTATGTTTCCTTTCTGTTGTAAAACCCTCGGCACTCAGTTACGAATGGGACATAATGGTATCTAGAAATCAGAATGGTTTGGAGAAAAGGGCTAAATTGTGAAGCATTTCTGAGGAAGAAATAGTAGGTAATTTACCTTTTTCTTAAAAAATAGGATATAATAGTAAAAACATTTATAATGCTATTATTTCTGTGCGTTTCTGGTTGATCTGACGCAGGCTTGAGTTATGTATGGTTTGAACCTGGGGACCTTAATGCATCCATGTGATGGCAACTTAGGCCTGATTTGCATGTTGTTGACCTTGGGGGCGTTGGTCTACCCATAAGATGGTTTACCTAGCTGATGCCTGCTTTCATCTAGAGCCATAGTTCCCATTCTGAAAGGTTCGATGCACTTCTGAACAATCAGATCAGTACAACTGTGGTTTTTTTATCTAAAGTGCCTGTATGTAGGATCAAGTGAGAGCTTTGACTAGATAATTTGCGTGTAACATATTTATTCTATTTGACAATCCGAACTGTTCACTTGACCGCATAGATAATGCAAGATAGCTCTGTCCAAGAGGAAAACACTTCTAATATTCTACAATGATTTGGAATACATATCTTCAGAATTCTATGCAGAGTGATTGTTGGAAATGTCATCCATGGCTCTATTACTTCTCATCTTTCTGATCCATGAATGGTTCATGCCCTGCATTGTCAGCCATATATGACATTCAACTAGGTTTTAAATAGTGGAGATGTAGCCTTGCAAGTGAAGCATTTGAATGTCTTAATGATTTTTCTGGATGCCTTATGTGCTGCAAAGTTTGCCTCTTAGTGCATGTCTTTTTGTTTTAGCTTCAATCAGGTCCTCCCTTGGATGAGGCATCAATAGCATGCATTCTACGGGACTTGCTGCATGCGATCGAATATCTTCACAATGAGGGAAAAATTCACAGAGATATAAAAGGTCGATTTAGTGCCATCTTGCTTATTTTCCCAGCATGAACACATTTTAAACTTGCGTTTTTGCAATACAGCTGGATTTTTATTTTGGATTTACTATGTAGACTTACCAAAGCCCTATATTTAGGCTTTAGGTGACATTTGTTTTACCTTTTTCATATGCAGCGGCCAATATCCTGCTTACAGAAAATGGTGATGTTAAGGTATGCTTATCTCTTTCAAACAATTCAGTGTTTGTGAGTATTCTCTCCGAATCTCCAACTTTTTTGTTGATCATATGATAGGTTGCAGACTTTGGTGTTTCTGCACAGCTAACAAGGACAATATCTCGGAGAAAGGTAATTCAAGAAGAAGTAGTTACTTACATTTGTAGGAAACTGAATGGTTAGACGTTTAACTTGCTTAGGGCTGGTGGTATATCGTAACAGGAATGTCGAATAGTCTGATTAAGCGCTACTTGAATTGTTGAGATTTGTTTTTGTATTTTTCTTGTGTTTTTGACTGTAAGTTATGTGTAGCCATTATTGTCTTCTATACCATCTCCCACATCATCGGCAGGATTGGTCATTGTTGATCTACATTGAGATAAATGCTATGAGCCTTGAATAGAGAGCGATGGTATTAGATCAGACGCAACCCCTGCAAAATCTTGAATAGCTAGATACCCTTAAATGTCTTATTATATCTCAGACAGAGTTTAAATTTTCTTGTTTCCTTACGAACCAAAATTCAAGCAGGGCATCTATTGATTTCTATGTGGAATTGTTCATATTTCTTCATGATATAATATTAGAATATATAAAAATGAGTTTAAAGTGTTGTGCATAAACATGGTGTAAAGCAGAATGAATAGGTAGGATTTGGCTTTTGTCCCTTTTAGTATACTAGTATTTGGCGCATGATGATAGTGTTATGCTCTCTTTATGTTCGGTGATTGGTCATCCTCATAATCATTTTCTGTATCGAGAAACATTCATTACCATTTATTTCTTTGTGGTCTAGGGAGAAACCTCCCTCCCCTGTTTTTTGAAAATTATAATTTATTCTTAAGAGTTGCGAAACTAATGCTTGCCTCTGTCACTGAGCTTTCAGACACTATTTTTGTATCAAAACCTGATTTGGGAATTGCTTATGGCGCATGAGATATGAAAAAAGTACCCCATTGCATTGCTCTTGGATGTATGAATCCTTATTTCATAAGCCATGTGCTGCCCTACGTGCTGTTGTGGTCTGCCCTGATGTCTGAAATGTTTTGGTTGCCTTTGCTATTTTATCCTACGTTTATTCTTGCTCCATGCTCTATTTAATACAATTTTCATTCCAACTGAGGCCTTGTCCAAAACTGAGTGTCTTTAAATCAGTTAATGTAGATTGTCATTGAGTATTTTATGTTCGAATATTTAGCAGTTTTTCCTTACACTAGGTGACGCAGTTTCCATTTATGTGCGCTGACAGCTATATTTTAGAAATTGAAGGGAAATCGGATGATGACTAAATAAATTATGTGCATTCAAATACTGAATAAAAGTACCTGGAGAAAAGAAACTGCTTGTTAATCGGGTCTTTCCTTGATGTCCAAGTAGTATGCCTTTCTATATAGACTCTTATCGTCAGGTCTCAACTACCGCTCACTGCTGAGATATCAATTTGCCTCTGTGGGACCTGTAAAATATTTTATTCTTCTTCCCTCCTATTTGTTACAGCCTGTTGCTAATTTCCTTTTCTTTTTAGAACATCTTGTTAATTTACATTTTATAATAGTTCAGCTTCTAGTAGACTTGATGAAGGGTTCTAATTGTATTTCAACTGGTTATGCTAGACTTTTGTTGGAACACCATTCTGGATGGCTCCTGAGGTGATTCAAAACTCAGACGGATATAATGAGAAGGTATCCTTAAATTGGGTTTTCTATCATTTGACGATCAGACTTTGGACTTTAGATCAATCTTTTCACAAAGTAATCTTTTGCCTAATGCAGGCTGATATCTGGTCTTTAGGTATTACGGCTATAGAGATGGCTAAGGGAGAACCTCCTCTTGCAGATCTCCATCCAATGAGGGTGCTTTTTATCATACCACGTGAAAACCCTCCGCAGGTTTATTAACGTTCGGTTGAATTCTTGTTATTACTGTTCGGTGTATACTTAATTCCATTATAACTTATTTTACTAATCGATGACTACTTTTTTTTATAATTTAGCTGGATGAGCATTTTTCTCGTCCAATGAAAGAGTTTGTTTCGTTGTGCCTAAAGAAACTACCTTCAGAGGTAATTTCCTATCTTAATTGATTTTTATGACTTTTCTTTCTGTGTAATTTTGAATTTTTTTTGAGGTTGAAAAGCTTTTGATGTACACAAGGAATATTGTTATCATATATTTTTCTAAAGCCTTTTCATATATTGCATCTAGTTTAATCATATCCATTGAATCCACACTTTTCAGCAAAAGAGTTGAATTTATGTTAAGTGTGGTCATAGAGTATCATTGTTGTTCAGCATGCAACTTTTTAAAATTCGATCAAATGTCTCTTTTACGTGTCCTAACGTACTTTGTTATCTTCAATTCAGAGACCAAGTGCGAAGGACCTACTTAAACACCGTTTCATCAGAAACGCAAGAAAAAGTCCTAAACTTTTGGAAAGAATAAGGTCTTCATTTTATATTTGTTTACTTTAATAGTTTACACAGTGCATTCTCACAGTGTGTACAGGCTAGTATAACTCGTCATAGTATTAAATTCATTGAATTTTGGAATTTCCATCTTGCATCTTCTTATACAGAGAGCGTCCAAAGTTCTCAACACTAGAGCATATGGAGACAACGAGAAACGATGGGACCAAAACGTTGGACAATGCATCTTTGACTATAAAAATCAATAGAGCTCCAAATGATGATATCTCACATTCAAGGTCATTCAAGTTTAAGTTAATTGTTATTCCGATGTGCTTTTTCTCTTGTCTGACCCTCTTGTTTTAACCAACTGTAGTCAAGGAGCACTGCTGAGAAATGCTGGTTGGGACTTCAGCACCAGTGAACCCCAGGCATCTGGAAGTTTACTTTCGGCAAATGCCTCTGTACTTGAGAGGAAATCAGATTTTTCATGTGATCAAGGTTCTACAAAGGCAACATCAGACAGAGGAGAAAACCGATGGATGGCTTCTGCACATCTTGATACATCACGTGATGTACCCCTTAAAAATTCAATTGAAAATGATTATCATAAGCGACGAGAAAAATATTTTGGAAGTGTATGCTTCTTATTCCCCAGTTTTTCTGCATTTTTTTATGCTAATTATCCATTTTTCTACCTTTCCATTCTTAGTCTTTGGTGGAATTTTTTTTGCAGGACCGTATGTCTGTGAGTGATTCAGGAACAGTAGTTGTACATTCTCCAAAAGCCCAGATCTACACACCATTTAACCATCATCCTATGGTATTTCAGTCAATGTGTCATTCATCTCATTTCCTTTAGTCTTTTTGTAAATATTAAATTTCCTGTTATTTTGTTGAAAGTCGACCAGCAGATACACATCTTCAGAAGATGTGTCACCGAGCGGAACTGTTGTTATCCGTGGTCCATCTGATGAATCTCACACTCCTCGAGCTTTGAAGTCCAGATTAGGAAGTCGAGAAAAAGCTTCAGGTTCCTCAGTTGAAGATAGTGCACTGAACCTAGCAGAGGTAGTTTTTCTTTTCTTTTAGCTTTCGATTTTTAAGTTATGCATTTTACTCTGTTCCACTTCTTTATCTGATTCATCTTTTTCTTTCTTCCGTATTTAGGCGAAGGCTAAACTAGAGGGTGGAGCTAAGAAAGGAAGTAGGGAAAGTTCAGCCTTGGGAAGTTCAAAAAATTCTGATGCTAAAGCAACAGAGATGATGATCGATTCAGATTTCTTTAGGTAATATCTACATCTGACCGCTGGGTAATATCAGATTTCCCTTTACGACAAAAGAAAAAATAGAGTGTAGTATACAATTTTTAAACTTATTGAACTCAGGAATCCGCGTGAGTATGTTGGTGATCAAAAGATACTTGATGGGTCTTGTCAAATAAGTGACAATGGTGAAGCATCAGTACCTGCAACATCACCTGCATTATCTTTGTTGATAATCCCTTCACTGAAAGAGGTTTGAGTCTGGATCACCATCCTTTGCTATAAAATTTTCACTTTCTTCTGATGTTTGAAAGTTGTTTATTTACTTCAACCCTATTCTTGACATAGTGAGGCTCGAAATAACTAATGGCTTCCGGGCTAATGAGTTGTTCATTTTTCTCTTTCGAGTAAAGTAGAAATTGGCTTTTGTTCTGGTTGATCGTCTCTTCCGGTTCTGTTCTTTCAAATGAAAAAGCGTCAAGGACTTGTAACATACACCAACCCCCCCAAGTGTGGCCGTCTAGGATTGCATGACACTTTAGGATTTGTTTTTTTGTGAATCGTTCGTAATTTGGAATACCTTTTCATTTGAGGTACCTAGTCTTTGTATTTGGATTTGCCAGTCAGTCACAGTGAATGTGTTCGCTCATATTTGGACGGAGCTTCAGTTCAGGATCTTGGGCGATTCATTTGGGTACAAATTCGATAGGTGTTCATGTCGATGCTTGTCTGATATTCTGCTAGAGGACTCTTCTTCTGATTCGGAAAGGTTCCAGACTGTTTAGAATTCACATCATAGATGACTGTTATGGAACAAACCCTAGGAAACAGACTAGGGAATTTTTGAACAGGGCTACGAAACAGGGAAACTACCTTAACATCTGGGAAACTGACAAACTAGGAATTTTTTGAACCAACAAGCAAAGCCCCTAGAAAACGGTCCAAGTAAGAACCAAACAGTTAATTTATACGTTCTTTCCCGCAACTCCAATCATTTTGGCACAGACAAATCCCCTAGGAATGTGATTTTCAGATCGAAGTAGGTTCCAATGATTAGAATCACCATGTGTTCTGAAATGAAGGAAATGTCATTTGTTGTTCAGTAGTGCATCACCAGAGACACTTGCCCGTACTTTCTTGTCCATCAAATAGCTTTCAAGTGCCTCATCGGTCTATATATCTAAAAAAACTATACTTCAGTCTGGTACATGCACTTGCCATATATCTACAAAGTCTGACCTATCTGTACTTCATTATATTCTGTGGGGTAGCAAGTCAGTGGAAGATGTAAACTCTTACAGGTTGTGGGAGACGCTGCAGCGGGATCCAGCGCTCTGTCGGTGGTCGAATCCCTGAGAAATCTAGAACACCAGAACCCGGGCTTCGGTGATGCCTTTATCAGAGGTTTGCTGCAGAGGCTTGGGAGGTCCGTCCTTGTACTCTCAGTTATTTTACCTTTCCTCCTCACCTTGGAGCTCGGTATCAACTGAAATGGAATCGTACTCGTCTCTGTGGACTGAACAATGCTCTAAATTAATCGGCAGCTCGAACGATCCTTCAGTGGAGGGGCTTCGAGATTTCTGCTACCGAATTTTCGTCAAGAATGATGTGGCGGTGAAGGAATCAGAGGACGAAAGGAAGCAGGCTAGAGGTGAAGCGAATGAAGGCCCAAGCCTCAGCCCACTCGCGAGGTTCCTTCTCACAAGGTCAATTCATCTCCCTTCAATTCCCTCTCGTTCCCTTGAGTCCAGATCCCAGCGTTTGAGGCACCACCTGGAGAGGTGTAGGTCATCAGATAAGGATTTTCGTTGTGACAGCAGAGCCATGGTCTCTTTTGCAGATGGCAGGGGCAGGTCACCCAGGATCTGAAATCAGTTTAGAGCTGGAGAGAGGGGGAGTTCTCACATTTTGGCGTGCGGGTACCCTGTGAATATCTTATTTTCCTTATTTTTTATGTATATATTGCCCCATAAGTTCCTCGTGCTATTACTATTATTTTGCCATCGTCTAGTCATCAATTTCTTCATGTACATTTTTGTCTCCCCTTCCTCCTTCAAACCACATCCCCCGCCCTGACGGTGTGGGCGTCAGTATCCATCCATGTAGTCGCTCAGCCTCCTGATGAGGCTTGATAATAAGTAATAGCTCTTGGGGGAACCTAGTTCTCAACGTCCATTTCTGCTCTTTTAACCAAGGTTGAGCGCTTGGGGCACCTTGTCCTCAACGTCCATTTCTCTTGATAAACGCACAAAACCACATCTCTTAAAATAGGACTATAAATACCTCTCCTAATGAAGGTGATGATTTCATAGCCAAATTAAATCTAAATAACCTCAAATTAAATGCAAACATGAGCTAGATATATTAAATTATTTTTCTGTTAATGCTCGACACATTAAAAAAACATTAAGGGCCATTTAGACATTTCTAATTAAATTAAGTAGTTCTATTCTGAAAATGTTTTCAAACATAACGATCTCTAATTATGGATATCTAGTACACTAGATTGGCTTTCATATAAATATCTTACTTTTGAGATTCACATGAAACTGAACATTCAAATCATTACTTCTTCGTGGAGGTAATTTTTGTAATTATTGACTTTCTAACAGCTGTTAACAAAAGTAATGATTTTGAGTAACAAACTCATGAAAAATTTAGAATCAAAATGTCACAACTACATTTGTTGATGTATCTTATAAACACTTGATATCATTAAGATGAAATATCCAAAAAGTTAATAATGTGTGGTTCAAGTGTACTAAGAATCAATAAAATTTGATATAGTATTAATCTTGTGTGTTAAATATCACCAAAACTATATGATAATAAATGTTCTTCAAGACAACAGAATAATATAAGAATATGAAATAGTATATAAGATACTTAAGGGTCTTGAAGCCAATAGGGTCAACTTTTGGTTCATTACGTTTTTTTTCATGTGAGCAATCTAACATATATTAAGTTGACACACTAACAAAAAACTTTTCAAAATTTTTACATTATAATTTGGAAAACTTTGAAATCAAGAAAAATTACTAAATACTATAGTTGATAGTTACGATAAAGTTATCACATTGTAATCATACATTCTAAGTTCCCTTGTAATACTAGAGAATTTATCTTCAAAGAGGGGCTTAGTGAAGATACTATCTAATTCTAGCTTATTGGGGTGTGTGGCCATTTCATAGAGATCTTTCACCAAATTATACATGTCAAATTTTGCACATAAAATTTACTTGTTCTCTTAGATGAGAATTATTTCTTTCTTTCATCTACCTATGAGTAAATACACATTCTCTTTAAATAGGATGCATTGACACATCCTTTTGTTTGTTGATACCTAAGTATCCATAATTAGAAATATGATACACTTTTGTTTCTCCTTATTTTTCTTCTCAATCATTTTTTTGATGTAGTTTGATTTCTATTCATGTATATTTATTTGCTTGTATCTATTTTCTTTGTGTTATCTAAAAAATATATTTATGCCATAAAGAAACTAGGGATAATGGTTCAAAACTTGATCAATTAGGTTAATCTATTGCAACATATCTAGGAGAAACTTATCATTTTATCTTTACATGATTAATTATCAACATCAAAATATTTATGGCCAATACATATTCTGCATGATATCTCTTTGCAAATTACTCATCAAAATAGAGTAGTTGAGAGAAAATTCAAGCTATATAATGTATATCAAAAGCTATGCTCACTGATTATCTACCAATAATTCTTTCATAAAAGAAATCAACACAACATGGTATATGAGTAAAATGAGATAAGCAGTATATCAATATAAATGAGATAAGAGTAAAATGGGAAATTTGATATCAATAGTTATGAAGGCATTTTTATGATCTAAAGACTAAGTATCTTGAAAACAGTATGATGAAAATTACTTTGGATGAAGTAGGTGTACTTGAACTAAGATTTAAGACTATTTCTTTCCAGGATGATGTGATATTACCTAAAATAGGAAGTCATAGAAAATAATGAAATTCCTACGGAATGAAAATTCATGAAAATCATTTTGAACATCAAACTATTCAAAATTTATATGGTAGAATTAAGACTATGTCATTAATTAGGAAAGAAAATACTTATTTTTTAGGTCTTTAGTTTTGATATTTCAAGTAAAAATTTATTTATGAAATATTTATTGAATTCTAAATAGATTTTATGAAGACTTAAGTTAGAACATTAATACATGTGAGAAATATTCAAAGCATTATTAATGATGCTTTAGTAATACTATGACTAACAAATGAATTCAATGAGTTATATTATTTTGATATCCATATGTTGAATTTAATGCAATATCATAGAGTTCATAAATAAGTGTAAAAATTCAAATGTCAACACATGTGATAAAGTACTTCAAAATATCAGAGTATTAAAGTCACTAGTAGGACTCAAACTAAAGACTTGAGTGATGGAAAGTCGGAAGTCTAAAAATTATGGAAAAACAAAGATATTGATAGCATTCAAAATCAAAACCTTAATGACGACACACTAGAAAGTTGAGCAAAGAAATATATGAAAAAAATCAAAGTATCAATGTCTTCAGCAGGACTCGAACTTGAGACTTATACAACAATAAATCTAAAGTGTATTGAAAAGTCACAAAAGGGGAGAAATCATTGCCACACACTCTAAATGGTGACACATTAACAAAATCTATGGAGATAACAACAAGCTTAACGTGGGACTTGACCTCAACATGAAAGATGATTATCATCAAGTTATGGATTTTCAAACTGAGCTTTAAGTACATAAGATATGATAATGGTGAGCTTTGAAGTAAAGAAGGAGAAAAGATTAGTGCCATGCATTTTAGATGGTGGCATGTGTTGATGCCCTTGGGCATAGATTTTGATATTAATATTATATGAGAAAATATATAATTCTTGTTTGATATTGTTTACAAGATTATCATAAATGCATCATAGATTTCACATAAATAAATCTATTATTTATCTTGTGACATTATGGCTAATCTTGAGATTACGTGAATTGATGAATAGGTGAAGCACCACATATATATATGGATAAATATTTGTTGGAAAACAAATATTTAATAGGTAAATGTTGGTTATGTTTTTAGTTTATTTATTCATGATTATTTAACCATTTAAGTGCAGCTGTTGTTTATTAGTCACGTGCATCATTAAAAGAAAAAGAAAATGGTTCAAAAAGTATCATCAAATGAGCTTGTGAGTCTCGAACCGGAAATCTGGATGATGACACGTCAGCTGCTTACGTGGAGAAAACAACCAGCTTAATGTTGGATTCTGAAGACAAAGTCAACAGAAAAGTTATTTGTGTGTGAGAGCCGAATCTCCAGTTCAAATTTCAAATCAAACGGACTAGAAAATAGAAGATATTGAATTCGTAATGGTCAGAGGTCATTGTCGTGCGTTCAGATAGTAGAAGTATTTGAATTGACTTTTCGATTTTATCTCTTGGGCAAAATGCAGAAATCCATTGGAGGACGATGCCCTACAAGTAAAGGAAGCTGGGGAGATCAACAACAACGATTCCACTCCAAACTACTACGAGATATCTCTCTCAAGAATCATCACCGCTGAGCTTCAATCACAAAAAGACTGTATCATCCTTCTTCATCAACGATTGGTGATCAAGATAAAGCTTGAATCTTTCAAGGAGGCTCTCCATCAGGCCCTAAGGTAAGTGGGTAGTGAGTGGAGAGTGATTTTGGGCAGAGTCACGAGGTGCTCTAAGCCCTGTTTGGCCCGGAATAGTCTGGATCTCTGTGGAGGTCAAACATGAGGTATTGGGCTGCTGATCAAATTAATTTTAGTGTGTATTTATGTGAGAAATAGTGAAATACTGGTAGAAAAGATTCTCCAGGACTAGAAGTACTCAGATGAGTGACGAACTAGTATAAAAAGTTCTTATCTCATGTGTGTAGATAATCATGTAGAGCTGTGTTAGCACATGTTGACACATCTACTTTCCAAGAAGAAAATCTGAGATTTTTAAAATACTAATTCACCCCCCTTCTTAATATTCTGAATTTAGATCATTCAGCATGTTGAGAGAATACATGAAGATAATGACAAATTAAATGAGCTTATTTGGACTTGATCTTAAAAGCAAAAAATTATGATTATAAGTTACAAATTTCTAAACAAAGTTTAAAGTATAATGGATGTGAGAATAGCAAGCCTCTAGGAAAAGAACAAGCAAATGCTATTAACATGCTGGTAGAACAATTAGAAGAATTTTGAATTCACATGACTATTTTTTAAGAAATAAGAAGACATGAGAATGTTAGAATAAAAGGAGCCTGCAACGAAAAAAAATTAATTCTAAGTAAAAATATCTCTATAACTATCATCCACACTTAGAGCACATTCTTCTTCATCTATCAATGATTTGTTAGTTGTAACTCAAGTCAACATTTGCTTCAAAGGTTAACCTTTTCTAGGCCCTAAGGTACGTGGGTGACGAGTGGAGAAATGTTTGGGCTGAGTGATAACTCTCATTAATTACATGATAAAATTCATAATATTTTATAATTTATTATTTAAAATTTCATAAATATTTTAAAATTATTTTAATTTTAAAATAATACTAAACTTATTTATAAAAAAATATTAATTTTTATAAATTACATAATGAAATTGACCATGAAATATTTTGATATGTTTTAATTGTAATTATTATTATTATCAAAATGGTTATATATTAATTGCATATTTTCGGATTTTTCTTGATTGTTTTGAATTTTTACGAGCTTATTATGATAAATAATAATAAAATAATAAAAATTAAAATACACGAATAATTTCTTTTTTTCAGTTTTTCTGCATAAATGACAAACATAATGAATACAACAAGAAATATGGAA